TATTGTGAATTTAATTGAGTGGTCAATTAATACGTACGCCTAAAAAATCTATTTAATTGACCATGAGTGGTCAATTAAATTTAATCTGTAGGGTAGCTACTTTTGTCAGCTATTAGTTTAGACGAGGTTTGAACTATATCTTTTCATCAAGTTTAAAAATCCCCATTATTTAGTTTCAATGGTAAGATAAATGTGTTTGTAACACAGTCTTTAGTGACTGTACCTTCTGCCTAGCTAAATAAGGTATCAAAAGTGCCTTGTATGATGATAAATAAGTTTTGTTTTTGTTTTTCAATTCTCTGCATGGTGTGTTGCAGGCTTAGGCTAAGATTAATGTGACGTTTCCTTGTACATATTATGCTTTCAGGAAATAAATTATTCTCATTCTCATTCTTATTCTCATTCTCATTCGCATTCTCTCATTCTCTCATTATCTCATTCTCTCATTCTCATCATAATTAATTGTACTTGGTGATATAATTGTGGCTTGGAGCAAAAATAGAGGTTGGTGTACTACTATCAAGTAAAAAATCCAAGCAACGAGGGCAAACGTGTTGAACAGACACATTGCACGCTGTTTGAGTCCGTACCAGATGTAGATTTTACATATGACGTAATAAAATAATGGGTTTCTATGTCAAATATCTTTTTCATCCGTCCAATCTAACAGATTTTTACGGTTGTGGTGACATTTTGAAGCTTGCGATTTTGGTGGAAGGACGAGGCAACTAAAAAGGTAATTGTTTAGAGCTTCGCTCCCCCCCCCCCCTAAGCGAAAACAGGTCAATACATATTTCTAGAGTTTTCCTATAAAAATCCAGTGCTAGTTCCCAACGCAACTTTCATTATAACACTTCTTATTTTTTATAATTTAACAGCTAATCAATAAACTAAAATTTGGAAGGGAACTCACCTATACCTTTTCATCAAGTTTAAAATTCTCCATTATTTTGTTTCAATGATTGAAATAAATCGATCGAAACAGAGGTGACATTGGCAAGAAAGGTATAAACAATCAATGACCTGCCCTAAACAACAACAACTTATAATGGATGTTCTCGGAAACTTAGGGCTACCGATAATAGATAAAGTTGCCTTTCGACACACCCTTACAACAACTTATAATTGTTCTGGAAATCGATTATGGTAAGACTGGGTATCAATCAGCTACGTATTGTGCTTCGCCATTGTAAGCTTTAGCTTTATATGGGTGAGTATTTTTAGTTGTTTAAGAAGTAGTTTTCTAGTAAAGTTGACCTCGTCATTGATTTTCTTGTTTAGCTGAAAAGTCGAGGTGAAGTCAAGCTATTTTCCTAAGATATATTGGATATTTAAAAATGCATTTCCTCGAAAGATTTACAAACGAACGAAAGTCTTTCCGTATAAAACGTAAATTCAAATACCCTTAGTACACGTGTATGGGGTGTAGTATATTCGGAAATATCTGTTCCGTGAACAATATTATTTGTACGTGTAATGAAAATCCATAAATTATCGTACCCATGAGAGTATTGGGTTTATTGGTCAGTCCCAGAAATAATGAGTTTGACATGTTTTGAAATAAAAAAAACTAGTTCAACCGTCATTCAAACGTAGTTACTATTTTTCCTTTATGTTCACCGAAATAGCGATTTTTGAATGAAAATTGCTTTGATATCTTTGGTTAGTTTTGAAGAGCCTCTTCAATAAATTGTCTTTTTCAGTCTTTTTACACTATAGTTAAGTAAAAATAATGGTTAAAGTACGTACTATTCCAAAGTTACAAGCTTTAAGCCAACAGATAAAAAATAAAATATTTAACTAAGTCATTTACATATAAGTTGCTGTTGCAGTATGTTTTTGTAAAACCCGACTTGGTATATTATTCAAAATAGAGAAGAAACCCTACTATTTTAGAACCAAGCTTTTGACTATTCTTAGAGGCCCTTCCGACTACATTTTGTTTAAAATGTATCAAATTATATTCCACAAAGGTAGTTTTAGAGTTCAAACTTACCGTTTTCTGAAAAGGTCAATGCAATCACTTGACCAAATAATTTCAGTTATTTCGGAAAGCAAAACAGTTTCACACTTTCATTCTCCATGTGTTATCCGGAGTAAAAAGTAATAATGTTCCACCTAGTAAAAAGTAAGGTTTTAAAGAAATAATAAAACCACCCCCTTATTTAAAGATACAAATGTATTTGATTATTATAATGTATTTGATTATTGGTAATTAACAAATATTTTTGAAGACAAATAAATAAACTATTGAGTTAGTTTACTCCTAATGTTTATTTTATGACCTTATGTCAAGGGTAACGTTTAATTTCAAGGCAGACCTTGAAGTGTTGCGAATAGCGGCGGATCGTTCTATGTTTATTTTATGAGAGAATCACGCCCATTGCTATTGCAATATGTATCTGTCTAGGGCACCCTCGTTCATTTCTCCAACAGTCTTTGAACTGTCACCTTTCAGTCAATAGGTAAGTGACTCTTCTAACACGATTCGTCTACGAAATTGTAACATGGGGTTTACAATAAATTATCAAACGAGAAATATTTCATTTGTATAGAGTATTTAAGTTAGGTTGACGAAAATAGGGGATTGGATGTTGAAAATTATTTATTTCAACAGGAACAGCAACAATAATGCGTTGAGTTTCTGGTATCTATATATTAGAAATGTTTTAAGAGTCAGATGAGGTCTGTTTGATTATAATGTTTTGTACGGATTTTGAAAACTTATCAAACATATTGATTTAAAGAAAAGTAATTAATATAAACTGCAGTTTTAAAATTATTATTATTATTATTATAATTATTATTGTCCATTGTTAAACTTAAGTAATAAATTTAAAAGAGAATAGCCTACACAATTCTTTTAGCTAAACCACTTTCTGGTATCTACATACTAGAAACCTAAAAAATCAGATGATTTTAAACAGCCTTATTGATTAGTTTGATTGCTGTTCAAAACGTATCTAACATATCGATTTAAGCTAAAGTAAATGTAAACTGCATTTTAAAAATTGGTGTCCATTGTTTTACATAGAAAATAAACTAAAAACAGAATACACAATTTTTTAGCTAAACCATATAAGCTATTAATGATATTTTGTTTAAAAAAATATTTAATGTTAATGTAAAATAATTTTGAATAATATATATAATAATATAAGTACCATTGTAATGACACATTTAACTTAGAAATATTGCATTTTACAGAATGCACAACAGTACAAAACTATTTATCGCAGCAATTAGCACTTAATAATTAAGAATTAATAAATCATATGGAGCAATAGTAAAAGGTAAGATCTTTTAATTTTTTCGCGTAATTTATTGATTGAACATAGGATAGTATATTTATTGTAATATACTGATTTATTATAGAATAGCAGCTCATTAGTGTTATTTTACAAATGTTATGGATTCTCTGAAATTCAAATAAAGCAGAGCTACCTGGAATTGTATACTTATATTAACCTCTGTAATGATGACTCTTCATTAAATAAAACTTGACTAGCTTTATCAGCTTTGATATTGCGACCAAACAGTTATAATAAAATATGAGATTTTGCATACAGTGACCAGGTTTTATTTCCCCCTGTAAGGATGGAGATAGTAGATGGCGTCATGAAGAACGGATAGCCCATCATTGTCCGTTCATTTAAGATCCTTATGATAAGGCAGAAGGCGGTACAAAGGATTCAGACTAAGATCCAAGAGTAGGTGGGAAAACTTTGACCTAGACTTGGGTTGGACACGTGACTGAAAAATAGCATTCACCTAGATCTAGGACAATGGTAAATGTAAATTTTCTACAGACAATTAGTATCAGCGAGGAGTCGATTTGGAGGGTAGATATCCAAGAGTGTGTTTATATCCTTTATGTTAATCTAAAATAGTTGAGGACTTTTCTACCAGAAGGAAATTTTGTACAGCTACGAGGCTTTACATAATAACATAATGTGGGGAAGGGACACTGTAGGTTACGATATGGGTCAGGAAATTGCTTATGATTTGCTCATTGATCGCCTTCATCTTCATCCTTGACGATTTTACATGTAAATCTGTCAACAGGTAATCATGATCAGCGAGGAGGATGCGGAAGAAGATGGCAGTTCAACAATGGCTTGGGGAGAGGACACCATATCTCACGACATGGGCGAGGAGACTGGATAGGGATTTGGCTACTGGATTGATAGCCTTCATCTTCATCCATGACTATCTTATATGTAAACCTGTCCACAGGTAATCATCATCTGTAGAAGAAGACTAAAGTTTAACAATAGGGAGAGACACCGTACTTCACATGAGTCATGAGACTGGCCAAGAATTTGGATATTGGATTGATAGCCTCCATCCTCATCCATGACTATCTTATATGTAAATCTGTCCACAGGTAATCATCATCTGTAGAAGAAGACTAAAGTTCAACAATAGGGAGAGACACCGTACTTCACATGAGTCATGAGACTGGCCAAGAATTTGGATATTGGATTGATAGCCTCCATCCTCATCCATGACTATCTTATATGTAAATCTGTCCACAGGTAATCATCATCTGTAGAAGAAGACTAATGTTCAACAATAGGGAGAGACACCGTACTTCACATGAGTCATGAGACTGGCCAAGAATTTGGATATTGGATTGATAGCCTCCATCCTCATCCATGACTATCTTATATGTAAATCTGTCCACAGGTAATCATCATCTGTAGAAGAAGACTAAAGTTCAACAATAGGGAGAGACACCGTACTTCACATGAGTCATGAGACTGGCCAAGAATTTGGATATTGGATTGATAGCCTCCATCCTCATCCATGACTATCTTATATGTAAATCTGTCCACAGGTAATCATCATCTGTAGAAGAAGACTAAAGTTCAACAATAGGTAGAGACACCGTACTTCACGACATGAGTCATGAGACTGGTCAAGAATTTGGATATTGGATTGTTAGCCTCCATCCTCATCCGCGATGATCTTATATGTAAATCTGCCTGTAGGTAATCATGATCAGCGAGGAGGCGATGCAGAGGATGAAAACTAAGGTCCAACAAAGAGTAGGACGGACTCCCCCTGCTACCTGGGCCAAGGTAGGGGTGGGTGTGTTGGTTGGAGGGGTTGCCATTGGCTGGATAGCCTTCCCATACGTACTGGACAAGGTCGTAGCAAGTGTGAGTTGAATTGTATACCACAATCATAGAAGTTGTAATATCTGGTGTTGGTCTTACAGCTAAAATTAAATATCTTTACCTAACCTGTTAAACTTCCCTATCCCAATCGTGATGTATACAACTTCCTTACTTCTCGAGTGATGTAAAGTATCAAAAACTCACTCGGTGATGTAATGAAACCCATTTATAGCTATTTACCTTACAAGTGTAGTAAGAGCGTTTTTACATCACGCAGGTGAAGTAAACACGCTCTTGCGTAACGTGTAACGTACAAGATTTTACCTGACCCGACAATATACAAGAGGTTACGAACAATATTAATCATTATCCATTTCACTCATCTTCTAACAGTAACATTCATTTACAAACAAAAGCTAGGTTAGGAAAATTCTTCAAAACATAACAATAAAGTTCAAGAGCACAGCTGATTTCTAGCGTTGAACGTCGTTGGCTCCATAGAGGTATATTTTTTAAGTTAATCACTCAATGTTATTTAAATGGGTTTCATTACATCACCGAGTGAGTTTTTGATACTTTACATCACTCGAGAAGTAAGGAAGTTGTATACATCACGCTTGGGATAGGGAAGTTTAACATGGCGGGTTAGGTAAAATAACATTGAGTGATTAACTTAAAAAATATACCTCTATGGAGCCAACGACATTCAACGCTAGAAATCAGCTGTGCTCTTGAATTTTATTGTTATGTTTTGAAGAATTTTCCTAACCTAGCTTTTGATTGTAAATGAACGTTACTGTTAGAATATGAGTGAAATGGATAATGATTAATATTGTTCGTAACCTCCTGTATATTGTCGGGTCAGGTAAAATCTTGTACGTTACACGTTACGCACGAGCGTGTTTACATCACTTAGGTAAATTATGCAACTCGAATCCGCTCGTTGCACAACCTTCACCTGCGTGATGTAAAAACGCTCTTACTACACTTGTAAGGTAAATAGCTATTACTATCCCAGAATTACATGCCTATTAATGAAAGTTTGGCAATGTCCTATGTATTATTACTGTTATTAGTTACCCTATTACGTATACTCTCGGCTTCAGATATACATATGTCTGTATACATATGTCTTTACACATGTATATCTGTAGCCCTGACGTATACTAATCCAATTTAAGTAGACCTTAACTATTTTTTGTTAGTTAATGCCTTGGAATCTATAAATATTTTGTTTCAATAAGTATTTTACCACGAATGAAAATATTTTATTTTATATTTCAACGAAGATAAAGATTAATTTAATTGTTGATCTAGACCTTTAGAGAAATAAAATTAATAAGGAAGTTGTAAAAAAAAATTGGTTCTCAATGTTTTTCTGACAAACATTTGAATATAGTGGACTTATTTAGTTTGAAATTAATGCATAAAAAGCCCATAAATTCTACGCAAACAGTTGGGTTTCTGTTCACGATAGAATACTACGCCGTGATTTAGCGTTGGCTCATAAACAACCTTTCCGTTATTTTTCAATGTTTAGATCGCCCAAGAGGCAGTTTTAAATCCTAATGAATAAATACCATATTATTGGAAATATAACAAAGTAACTGCAAAAATAAATAATGGTTTGATGACGAAAGCCATCAATATCGATGAAAACATGAATATAATGAAAACAATTATTTTTGTAGTGGTACCTACTTGGTAGACTTTTTTATGTCTTGTTTTAGGATTTAATTTTATGTCGTTAAAAGAGAGAAGCAAACACTATTAGTTGAACTGAGAAAACAAAAGAATCTAGCTTAAGTAAAACCAGAGAGATAAAATAAAACCCAATTTAATATTTTTATATATTGAGTCAAGAGAATATCTAATAAACTAAACTTTGGTTTATTAAAGTTTTATCGGCCCTAGGTACGAAATATACTATTGTGGCTGTTACATTAAACTTGCAATATTTGCTTTTATGAATGTAAGGTAAATGAATGTGTCCGTGGGCTTGACCCACATAAAAATAAATATTTAGTTTCTTTGGGTGGGCGGAAGGCCAATATCGGTATGTTAAAACATTTTACTCTAACACTAAATCATTATTTTTACATCTTAACTAAACGTTATTTCTCTAATACATGTTATTTAGGTTTTTTTTACTAAAAAGTTTATTACTGTAGTTAAACATTCCTTTTACTGTGGTTTCCTGAACCATGACTTGGTGGTCAATCACAAACCATGGAATAGCTGTGCTCTCATAGTAATAATAAAAAACATAAATTGAAAGTTTGTTTGCCATTACTAGACCTTTCAACAGATATGTCGGTCTGAGTATTTCAAAGAAGATTCAAAGTTTAGTCCTAAACACGTACAGCAAGAGGGAAATGGGAATATATTGCACCGGCCCCTAAGACCCCCAATACGGGACCGTTCTATACCTTAAATACAATGGAAAAAGCAGTTTTATGGTTTGTATGAAGGAACCTTTCTCCTGACCTTCCATCTACTAGTACGGTGCAATTAGACCTAAACCGGGACATCAAAAAAAAAAGTTTCAAACCAGTGCCAAATTGTTGAGTACACTTCCCTCAATATGTAAAAAAAAGTTACACTGATTTGAGTGTCGGGTTTGGGGGGGAGGGGGTGAAAATGGGGTGAAAATAGGACTTTTTTTACTTTTTCGCAAATACCTCAAAAACGGTGCGTTTTTCTTAGAATATAATGATTTACAAAAATAATCTACATTAAATTTCGAACAAAATGATACTACAATACCTATCTACTATGAACGGTTCAGGTAATATTGAGGGGTAAATGTGATTTTTTTCTTAAAATTCTAAAAAAGTTGTTTTTTAAATGGAGGAAACCCATGGACACCCATAAAAAAAGTTTCTAATGAGTGCCAAATTGTTCAATAAACCTCCCTTAATATGTATAAAAAAGTTACACGGATTTGAGTGTCGGATTTGGGAAGGAGGGTTAAAAGAAAAGGGGGGGTGGATGGGACTTTTTTACTTTTTTGCAAATACCTGAAAAACGGTGCGTTTTTCTTAGAATATAATGAATCACAAAAATAATCTACATTAAATTTCGAACAAAATGATACCATACAATACCTATCTACTATGAACGGTTCAGGTAATATTGAGGGGTAAATGTGATTTTTTCTTAAAATTCTAAAAAAGTTGTTTTTTAAATGGAGGAAACCCATGGACACCCATAAAAAAAGTTTCTAATGAGTGCCAAATTGTTCAATAACCCTCACTTAATATGTGTAAAAAAGTTACACTGATTTTCGTGCCGGTCTTGGGTAGGAGGGTGTGAAAACGGGGTTGGGAATTTTATTCATAAGTAATTTTGTAAATTTTGTTAAGTAACACTTTTTATTTTCCATTTTATCACAAATATAACTACAATATAAATAAATATGACTTACCTACCTAAAAAAGACAAACCTACCTAGATACGGGAACACGGTGAACTCTTCCTCTCTCTCTACCGTTTGAATTCTTAAGAAGATGGAATAAAAAATAACTGAAGTTACAACGACTTTTAGTTGTAAAATTATTGTGATTAAGGCTACGCTATTCAGGGTTGCCTCTTTTTACAAATAAAAATCGTAATATTTATTTATTTTTTATTATTTTAAAAGCTAAATAAAAGTGTTACAGAAATTTTTTCATAAAATTAGCCATTTCTAGCAATTTCAATTTTAAAAAATTAAATGGCCGCCATTTTAAAATTTTTATTGGATTAAGATATTTTTTTTCTAACGTTGGTCTATTTTACCTCAACATACATACTATGTGTGTTAATGATCGGTTAAAAAATTCAGAGATGAAATAATGTTTTTGTGAAAAAAAACAAAATGGCAAATAGGCTATCTGGTTAACGAAGCGATTTTGGAAAAAATACTCTTGATTTTCTTTTTATTTTCACCCATAGAACCATTACCTGGGGTTTGGCTGTTTACTTTCAGGACTCCCTGTATACAGGATGTCTCACCTAAAGTGAACCAATAGCTAACTTTTTTATCATGGGTTATACAGTTAGTTGACTTCTTATGGGACACTCCCCTTTATTTTTTTATTTTTTAGATGATTTGGAATGGTTCCCAATTTTAAAAATATGTTCGCCATTTTCCAATATGGCCGACAACTTTGTTATTTCTTATGGAACACCCTGTAGTTTATGATTGTTAAATCATTAATAAATCCAATTAAAAAACATTTTTAATTTTGACATTTTCTCTTAAAAGCTACTCGTTTAGGAGTTACAGCATGTTACACTTATGGAAAAAGGCTTGTTGTGTACATTCCGCATCCTGTAGCTCATAAACGAGTAAGTTAATAGAGAAAATGCAAAGAACAAAAACTTTTTTATTGGTATCCATGGTTTTCCTGTATTTAAAAAACAACTTTTTAGAATTAAAAAGAAAAATCACATTTACCCCTCAATATCGTAGGTACTCAATACGTTCATGGTAGATAGGTATTGTATGGCATCATCTTGTTTGAAATTTAATATATATTATTTTTTTAATTCATTATATTTTAAGAAAAACGTACAGTTTTCGAAATATTTGGAAAATAGCAAAAAAAGTCCCATTCCCCCCCCCTTTTCTTTTAACCCTCCTTCCCAAATCCGACACTCAAATCCGTGTAACTTTTTTATACATATTAAGGGAGGTTTATTGAACAATTTGGCACTCATTAGAAACTTTTTTTATGGGTGTCCATGGGTTTCCTCCAATTAAAAAACAACTTTTTTTAGAATTTTTAGAAAAAAATCGCATTTACCACTTAATATTACCTGAACCGTTCATAGTAGATAGGTATTGTATGGTATCATTTTGTTCGAAATTTAATGTAGATTATATTTGTAATTTGTTATATTTAGAGAAAAACGCACCGCTTTTGAGGTATTTGCAAAAAAGTAAAAAAAGTCCCATCCACCCCCCCTTTTCTTTTAACCCTCCTTCCCAAATCCGACACTCAAATCCGTGTAACTTTTTTATACATATTAAGGGAGGTTTATTGAACAATTTGGCACTCATTAGAAACTTTTTTTATAGGTGTCCATGGGTTTCCTCCATTTAAAAAACAACTTTTTTAGAATTTTAAGAAAAAAATCACATTTACCCCTCAATATTTCCTGAACCGTTCATAGTAGATAGGTATTGTATGGTATCATTTTGTTCGAAATTTAATGTAGATTATTTTTGTAATTCATTATATTTTATGAAAAACGCACCGTTTTTGAGGTATTTGCGAAAAAGTAAAAAAAGTCCTATTTTCACCCCCTCCCCCCCAAACCCGACACTCAAATCAGTGTAACTTTTTTTTACATATTGAGGGAAGTGTATTCAACAATTTGGCACTGGTTTGAAACTTTTTTTTTGGATGTCCCGGTTTGCTCTTTTTTTAAGCTAATTGCACTGTACTATACCTGGGGCCTGTTCAGATATGAAACCATTGGCAAGTCACCAGGTTGAAGGTCAGGAGTCAGGTTTCTTCATACGGACTATAGTCGGGTATTTGTAGAACGCCATAAGCAATGAAATCCTTTTGAAAAACTTAGGAAGTTGGAGCAGTTAGTTGTAGAATGGAAATAGACATTTTCAGAATCATTCAAAGGAGAAAATAATAACTATAATTCCTTTTTTTCAGCAAATAAACCTGGCCCAAGGGAAGGACTCTCGAAGACTTTGGGTTCAGTTACCAACTCTAGACTGTATGATCTACGTATTTAATGTTACAAATCCGGCGGAGGTTATGAGGGGAGCAAAACCCATAGTGCAAGAGATCGGGCCATACTGTTACAAGTAAGTACTGGAAAATTATCATCATATAAATTGATATTCTAACGAAACTTAAATAATAAAAGCCAAAATTAGTTGCAAATAAACCGTCAGTTACCTTTATATTGCTTTTAAAATTTAAATTAACTACACAAAGCCAAGGCTTGGTCCCCAGGTACTTGACAATTTGATACAAATATCATAAAAGCAATCTAGGTACGATATTAACCATTAAGGAAAAACATCTTGGCTACAAATATACATATACAAGTAGGAGTAATATACTGTATATTTTATAACTCAATTGACCGTTGCTCTAGTATTAAAATCCCTAATAATTGAATCCTGAGTTTGAAGAAGATCTGATTTTAGCAGTACGTAGATTTACTAAAATAAATCTAATATTTTCTTTGACGTTAATGAGTTTTTACGTATCTTTAATTGTTGTTCTCTTGACGAGATTTTAAAAGATCAGGTGCCTTTTTCATGTTATTATAATACCAAATTTAATCAAACTAGGCCTGCCTTCTCTCTGGCGTTGAAGTCAAATTAAGCTGATATTTTATCTACATTATTTATCCTCGATTGCATAAATATGTGTTGTCTCAAATTGATAATTATTAACTTAACAATTAGATTAATTTGTCAGGAATGTTTTCGGAAATCGGAAATAAATTTCATTTTTTGAATAAACTAAAATAAATTCAAATTCATTACCAAATAGTTATTGCTATGAACACGTTAGTAACAAAGATTGCACCAAATTTAACAAAATCGTTGTTATTAATTTACACCAATAAAAACTATAACTTCTAATTTAATAACTTTGAAAATCTGTCTGTTGAATACAGAGAGATAAAGGACAAAACAGACTTCGTGGAAGACCCTGCAGCAGACACAATATCCTACAGTGCTCGCAGCACGTGGTACGCGGACCAGAAGAGTCCCGGCTGTCCCACACCCCAGCTGACTGGGGACGAGGTTATCACTGTGCCCAACGTGCCCATATTGGTAGGAAAATATGTTTGTATTGGTGGGAAACATGTGCCCATACTGGTAGGAAAATATGTTGATATTTGTGGGAAACCTGTGCCCATACTGGTAGGAAAATATGTTTATCTTGGTAGGAAACATGTGCCCATATTGGTAGGAAATATGTTTATATTGGTAGGAAACATGTGCCCATACGGGTAGGAAAATATGTTTATATTGGTAGGAAACCTGTGCCCATACTGGTAGGGAAATATCCTAATATTGGTGGAAAACACGCGCCCTTACTGGTAGGGAAATATCCTAAGTTGGTGAGTCGGTGGCTCAGTTGGTAGCGTCACGGACTTTGGGCCCAAGGCAGAAGTGTCGTGGGTTCGGATCCTGGTCACTACCACAAACTTTTATCAGTACATTTCACCTTTGTACTGTACCGGCTCACCCCTTGCTTTGCTGGATACGTTCCACGCACAGATCTGTAGTCTATGTGGACGGGCAAATGCAAGGTTAAAAGAGGCCGCCAACCTCTTAAAAAAAAATATTGGTGGGAAACACGTGCCCATACTGGTAGGGAAATATCGTAATATTGGTGGGAAACACATGCCTGTAGGAACATTTGCTATAACCGTGCTCAAGCTGGTAGGTCAAAATGTATATAATTGGTGGAAAACGTGTTCAAACTGGTAGAAAAACAAGTCCTAATGTTAGGAAATTTAGGAAATTTTGTTTGGTATTTTCATACCCAGTAGGAAAATATGTCCTCCTAGTATACACTACTCATCCAGCCATTTACTCATTAACTAATTCATTCATATGACAGAGCCGTTAAAATGATCACAAAACAATTATAATATTAATAAAAACAAATTGTGACAACAATATGACATCCAAAAGGCACAAGCTTGCAAAAACTATTAAATATCAATTCTGTACATACCTATGAGAAAAACGTTCAAGATGGTAGTAAAACGTAACTAAATTGGTAGGGAAATGTACCTTTACTAGTAGGGCTCACACAATTTATCTGGTAAGTAAACACTTCCATAAGGATTGGAAAACAGTCCATGGAGGTACGTAAAATCAATAATATAACAAGCTACTTCAGCGAGTTTCTTGTGAAAGTGGTTTGCAGGTTAATATTACGAAGTAATAAGTAGTGAATAATAATACAAATCAAAGAATAGTTCGTTTATAAAGATAGTTAATCTGGTTTAATTTAATTATCATATAAATAGAATATACTATCTTACCAAGCATAGTTCATTTGAAGATATAAAATACTTTTCAAAAAAATAAATTAAGACTATTCAATTAAAGACTTTACCAATGAACAACCACAGTAACTAAAAAAATGGCCCTAACCAATAATCGACTACCCGAACCCATGTAATATTCAGTTAGAACGTTTTATTCCCTCGATCTGTTGCAAAACGAGTTTACTACAAAGCGTTTCCTGTGAATACTAGGCCGTCTGTATTTGCTTATAAAGTGTGGGTCTGTTTGAATTTGCATCCTAAGCAAGAGCAAACCTAGTTTCTAAGTGCATCTCAAGCCCGCGGTACACAGTCCTATGTAAATGTCCAACGTTTCTACAACTGTTTAACAATATTCGTAATAGCTTTCAGGTTGTAATTTAACATATTTATGACGATTATGAATTTAAGTGTGGTATTAGAATGAATAAAGCCATAAGTCTGTTAGGTTTTTTTTTATAGTGTAGTGAAATGGCTTCACGAAATATATAGAACGTTTAACATATTAATTGTTCTTCTTATTAATGACCATTAATATACGAGTAACCTACGATTTGGTGCAGATTTACCAATTTTTAGTTACCTAAAAATATTCAATTTCTAGATAAACACCTACTTTTTCCACAGTTTTCTTTTTATCCATTTGAGGAAAAACATGTCCAACAGTTTCGTGTTTCATGTGGTGTTATTGTGTTTGTCTTAACCAGATAATACACTACCAATGATGTAACTTACTGTACTTTCTCTTTTATAGAGTATTTTGCTGATAGCAGAGAAAGATTTTCCCGCGCCTTTTTTGACCCTGGTGAGCCAAGCGCTTCCCGCCATTTTTGGCAGAGTCTCCGACATGTTCATGCGAGTCACAGTCAAAAGTCTGCTGTTCGATGGAATCCTGATCAACTGTACCGCCACTGCTCTCTATCCTAGAGCCGTCTGCATCGCTCTCAAACAGAACTCTAGGGCTCTCAAGAAGATCTCCGAGAATGTCTACAGCTTTTCCTTCTTCGGCGCTGTACGTAAAAGTTTCTTGAAAGTCTATTTGCCATAAATACTTGATTGATGTGTGGTTAATAATATGTAAATCTTCAAAGACATCTTGTTGCCATATATGTATAATCTTTTTATTACAAAAACAGCAACTGCTAAGTAAATGCTCCGATCTTAACAATCTTTGCACATCTTTTAGTAAATAAAACGTTGGAACTTTTGGTATTGGATGAAATTTTACAAAAATATGAGATATTAATTTAATATTTAAGATATTAGGCTTTAAAAATAAGAATAGACGTCATTTTGAAACGATTATAAATATTGTATTCATATTTTATACAAAGGTAGTGAGCAAAACGATAAACATATTTGCTGAATTTCGATGCTATGTTGCTTGTTTTGACCTCCCGAATAATCTGGTAAAGTTTATCCTAATCGAAGCTGGACACCCTTATTAGTAAACTTAGTATAAGACTGCCATCAATTACAATGATCAATAAATATTAGAAAATAGTTATGTTAGCAAACAAAATCTTTTAGTATTCAGACTACAGTATAATGATGGTAAGAGAAACTTACTTTGTAACCGTAAAACTGTAATATTATTCGTATCATGATTTAAGCTATTGACTATGGTTAATTGCAAAAAGCCTTTTATAATTTGTAGAAGAACAACACCCCAGAGGAGTTCCGCTACACGGTGAAGCGTGGGACAGTGGATGGACAAGATATTGGCAAGATGGTTGCCATAGATGGCAAACCAGAGTTGCCATTTTGGAGAGGAGACTGCAACAAGATACAAGGAACTGACGCCTCTGTCTTCCCACCCTTCAGGAAAATGGAGAACGGCAGTCTCATGGCGTACTCTAGCGAAATTTGCCGGTAAGAATAAGCCAGTTGAAAGTAGAAATATAAGTAGTATTGGTATTTTACAAGTATTTCTTGGCTTTATGGTTGTATTAGTTTCCATTCGAAGTGTGAAATGACAAAGCTCAACGCCACTGAGCTGGTGATTTAAGTGGAGATTTGGGGAGTGAAGCACGTCCTATCATTATGCATTTTTACAGGGGGAGTGAGTTGGTCTAGAGGTAGAGAGCAAGGGGACTTTGGTCCCTCAGGTCCTGGGTTGAAATCCCGCCAAATCCCCGATGGATTTTATCCAAGTGATAATGCCACAACCCTTAGGTCTAGCCTGAAGTAATGTGAAAAACAATCGCGGACTACAACCTAGCGTCATAGGACAAAAACCCAAGAACATGTACTACAATCCTTTGCCTGTTAGTCTTTTAGACCGTAAATATGAACAAGGGAAACGGAGCAAGTGCCGTTCTATTTTTTGCCGTGGGGTTTCATAAACTGTCAACACCGTCAGGTAGGCCAGAGTTCCGTTTGACTCTGCAAAGCGTCATAGTGATTCAGGGGAGGGGTATTACTGGAAGGGGATGTAGTGGGCAGGATGTAATGGAGACCAGATACAGTTTCTTAACTGGGCTACCCTAAAATCGATTGAAAATATAGATTCGATTAGTTAACCTTCATACATTTTTTTCATAATCAGCAAGCAATTTGCACTAGGCTCAGAACTCATGAAACAAGGATGAATGAAAATTGTTTAGAACTCAAAGAAAATCTTATAGTAATTTTACGTTGAGCAAAGTTTTCATTTGCGCATATTTCTGTTAAAATAATTATATATTCAAAAAATAATTCTAAATTTCATTTTGTAAGTTCGGCCTCTATTTGATGATTTGATAAGTAATAGGAAAGTGAACTTTTGCTTGTATTATGGGTAGATAACACGTTATGGGTGATGACTAAATAATAGCTTTAAATTTAGTTAAACTCTTATGCGTACATTTTAAACACTCTAATTTACTTCAAGGTCAATCTTTGGCATATTTGAGGGGGAGGCTGACTACAAGGGTGTGAATGGATACGTCTACGCTGCCTACCCCTTCGGTGACGTGGAGACCAACCCGGGAGACAGATGCTTCTGCTCAGCAGACGACAGGTGCAGGAAGAAGGGGGTCCTTGATGCGCTTAAGTGTCAAGGTATGTCAAACTGTTAGTTTTAACTTTAAATTTCATCCTTTTGTATCATTTTTAGGCCTCAAAATGTTATATTTCATGCTTAACATCTATTTGATGGCCGTCACACAATTACATGGACTATTTTACTATAATGTTTTATTTTGTAGGGGTTTTACTAAAGATTCATGTTCTAAATGCTCCAGAAAATGTTTAATGGTATTTGTTAAATTGTAGGCCAACATTGATGAATTGAAATCGAAAGTAGTATTTGATCTTAGTTTGTTTGCAAATTTACCTTTTTTTAAAAGTGGATACAATACTTTTGTTTATTAGATGAATGATAAATATTAAATCTAATAATTGTCTTAAAGAAATCGCTATATCGTCTTCATCCAACCACCAAAGTAAATTTTTTTAAAACAACATCTATACACTCTGTTCCACAGCTTTTTTCAGATCGTCTTTTATTTTCCATTCAAACCATCAGTAGCTGCATTTACCAAACCCAGTGTAAAAGTTCTTTGTAAGCATTGATAAGCTTAATACATGTTTCAAGACCGATTTAATAATTTTTAAAGTTTTTTTTTTAATTCTAGGTGCACCTATAGTCGTGTCTCACCCTCACTTCTACGAAGCCAGCCAACAATATCTGGACGGGGTTGTAGGACTCAAACCTGACAAGGAAAAGCACGGCATTAAAATTATATTAGAACCTGTGAGTAGCAGTATTGTTTTTAAATAATCACGTAATAATTTTGACTTTTTAAAATTACACCAAATACCAACCAAATGGAATATTATTATTTATGTATTAGGGTTGAGTATTATAAAATTGACCATTTTCTTTTAGTTAGCTCTGTTGATGAGTTACTAGAAAAAAGGTCGAATCACAGGATTATCAATTCAGCTAGAAAAATTAGTTAATTATACCACCAAAGTCACACGTTTTTCGTTTTCATTTCAAATCCGTTCGTATGGATTATACTTACTATATTGGTTAACCACCTAAATGTTAAACATTGCAACAACACCTCATATCGTCCTCATGAGAATACCTCATATCGTTCTCATGAGAATACCTCATATCGTTCTCATGAGAATACCTCATATCGTTCTCATGAGAATACCTCATATAGTTCTCATGAGAACACCTCACATCGTTCTCATGAGAACACCTCACATCGTTCTCATGAGAACACCTCACATCGTTCTCATGAGAACATCTCACATCGTTCTCAGAGAGAACACCTCACATCGTTCTCATGAGAACACCTAAAATCGTTCTCATGAGATAACCTAATATCGTTCTCATGAGAACACCTTACATCGTTCTCATGAGAACACCTCATATCGTTTCATGAGAATACTCACATCGTTCTCACGAGAACATCTCATATCGTTCTCATGACAACATCTCATATCGTTCTCCAGAGAATACCTCATATCGTTCTCATGAAAACACCTCACATCGTTCTCATGAGAACACCTAACATCGTTCTCATGAAAATAACTCGTATCGTTCTCATGAGAATACCTCATATAGTTCTCATGAAAATAGCACATAAGGTTCTCATGAGAATACCTCATATCGTTCTCATGAGAATACCTCATATCGTTCTCATGAGAACACCTCATATCGTTCTCATGAAAACACCTCATATCGTTCTCATGAAAACACCTCACATCGTTCTCATGAAAACACCTCACATCGTTCTCATGAGAACAACTCATATCGTTCTCATGAGAACATCTAAAATCGTTCTCATGAGATAACCTAATATCGTTCTCATGAGAACACCTTACATCGTTCTCATGAGAACACCTCATATCGTTCTCATGAGAATACCTCGAATCATTCTCATGAGAATACCTCGAATCGTTCTCATGAGAATACCTCGTATCGTTCTCATGAGAACAACCAATATCGTTCTCATGAGAAAACCTAATATCATTCTCATGAGAACAACTCATATCGTTCTCATGAGAACAACTCATATCGTTCTCATGAGAACAACCAATATTGTTTTCATGAGAAAACCTAATATCATTTTCATGAGAACAACTCATATAGTTCTCATGAGAAAAACCAATATCGTTCTCATGAGAAAACCTAATATCATTCTCATGAGAAAACCTAATATTGTTCTCATGAAAAAACCTTACATCGTTTTCACGAGAACATCTCATATCGATCTCATGAGAACATCGCATATCATTCTCGTGAGAACGATGTTAGGTGTTCTCATGAGAAAACCTCACATCGTTCTCATGAGAACACCGCCCATCGTTCTCATGAGAACACCTCACATCGTTCTCACGAGAACATCTCATATCGATTTCATGAGAACATCTCATATCATTCTCGTGAGAACGATGTCAGGTGTTCTCATGAGAATACCTCATATCGTTCTCATGAGAACATCTCATATCGTTCTCATGAGAATACCTCATATTGTTCTCATGAGAATACCTAATATCGTTCTCATGAGAATACATCATATCGTTCTCATGAGAACACCTCATATCGTTCTCATGAGAATACCTCGTATCGTGTTCATGAGAATACCGCACATCGTTCTCATGAGAATACCGCACATCTTTCTCATGAGAACACCTCACATCGTTCTCATGAGAATACCTCGTATCGTTCTCATGAGAACAACTCATATCGTTCTCATGAGAAAAACTCATATCGTTCTCATGAGAACACCTCATATCGTTCTCATGAGAATACTCACATTGTTCTCACGAGACATCTCATAACGTTCTCATGAGAAAATCATATATCGTTCTCATCATAATACCTCATATCGTTCTCATAAGAACACTTCATATCGTTCTCATGAGAATATCACACATCGTTCTCATGAGAATACATCATATCGTTCTCATGAGAACAACTCACATCATTCTCATGAGAACACCTCACATCGTACCATGAGAATACCTCGTATCGTTCTCATGAGAACAACTCATATCATTCTCATGAGAACACCTTATATCGTTCTCATGAGAAAACCTAATATCGTTCTCATGAGAACACCTCACATCGTTCTCATGAGAATACCTCGTATCGTTCTCATGAGAACACCTCATATCGTTCTCATGAGAATACTCACATTGTTCTCACGAGACATCTCATATCGTCCTCATAAGAACACTTCATATCGTTCTCATGAGAATATCACACATCATTCTCATGAGAATACATCATATCGTTCTCATGAGAACAACTCACATCATTCTCATGATAACACCACACACCGTTCTCATGAGAACACCTCATATCGTTCTCATGAGAATACCTCGTATCGTTCTCATGAGAACACCTTACATCGTTCTCAAGAGAAAACCTAATGAGAAAACCTCACATCGTTCTCATGAGAATACCGCACATCGTTCTCATGAGAACACCTCACATCGTTCTCACGAGAACACCTCACATCGTTTTCACGAGAACATCTCATATCGTTTTTATGAGAACATCTCAAATCATTCTCATGAGAATACCCCATATCGTTCTCATGAGAATACCTCATATCGTTCTCATGAGAATTCCTCATATCGTTCTCATTAGAATACCTCATATCGTTCTAATGAGAAAACCTCATATCGTTCTCATGAGAATACCTCACATCGTTCTCATGAGAATACATCACATCGTTCTCTTGAGAATATCTCACATCGTTTTCATGAGAATAGCTCACATCGTTCTCATGAGAATACATCACATCGTTCTCATGAGAATACCTCACATCGTTCTCACGAGAACATCTTATATCGTTTTTATGAGAACATCTCAAATCGTTCTCATGAGAATACCCCATATCGTTCTCATGAGAATACCTCATATCGTTCTAATGAGAAAACCTCACATCGTTCTCATGAGAATACAGCACATCGTTTTCATGAGAACACTTCACATCGTTCTCACGAGAACATCTCATACGTTCTCATGAGAATACCTCATATTGTTCTCATGAGAATACCTAATATCGTTCTCATGAGAATACCTAATATCGTTCTCATGAGAAAACCTAATATCGTTCTCATGAGAATACCTAATATCGTTCTCATGAGAATACCTCATATTGTTCTCATGAGAATACCTAATATCGTTCTCATGAGAATACCTAATATCGTTCTCATGAGAATACCTAATATCGTTCTCATGAGAATACCTAATATCGTTCTCATGAGAACATCTCACATCGCTCTCATGAGAATACCTCACTTTGTTCTTATGAGTATACCTTACATCGTTTTCATGAGAATACCTCACATCGTTCTCATGAGAAAACCTAATATCGTTTTAATGAGAATACCTCGTATTGATCTCATGAGAACACCTAACATCGTTCTCATGAGAAAACCTCACATCGTTCTCATGAGAATACCTCACATCGTTCTCACGAGAACATCTCATATCTTTTTTATGAGAACATCTCAAATCGTTCTCATGAGAATACCCCATATCGTTCTCATGATAATACCTCATATCGTTCTCATGAGAACACCTCACATCGTTCTCATAAGAACATCTCATATCGTTCTCATGAGAATACTTCATATTGTTCTCATGAGAATACCTAATATCGTTCTCATGAGAATACCTAATATCGTTCTCATGAGAATACCTCATATCGTTCTCATGAGAACAACTAACATCATTCTCATGAGAACACCTCACATCGTTCTCATGAGAATACCTCACATCGTTCTCATGAGAATACCTCGTATTGTTCTAATGAGAACATCTCATATTGTTCTCATGAGAACACCTTATATCGTTCTCATGAGAAAACCTAATATCGTTCTCATGAGAACACCTTATATCGTTCTCATGAGAAAACCTAATATCGTTCTCATGAGAACACCTTACATCGTTCTCAAGAGAACATCTCATATCGTTCTCATGAGAACATCCCATATCGTTCTCATGATAATACCTCATATCGTTCTCATGAGAACACTTCATATCATTCTCATGAGAATACCGCACATCGTTCTCATGAGAATACATCATATCGTTCTCATGAGAACAACTCACATCATTCTCATGAGAACACCTCACACCGTTGTCATGAGAACACTTATATCGTTCTCATGAGAATACCTCGTATCGTTCTCATGAGAACACCTTACATCGTTCTCAAGAGAACAACTCACATCATTCTCATGAGAATACCCCACATCGTTCTCATGAGAACACCTCACATCGTTCTCATGAGAACACCTCGTATCGTTCTCACGAGAACATCTCATATCGTTCTCATGAGGACACCTCACATCGTTCTCACGAGAACATCTCATATCGTTCTAATGAGAACATCTCACATCGTTCTCATGAGAATACCTCATATCGTTCTCTTGAGAATACCTCATATCGTTCTCATGAGAATTCCTCATATCTTTCTCATGAGAATACCTAATATAGTTCTCATGAGAATACCTCAAATCGTTCTAATGAGAAAACCTCACATCGTTCTTATGAGAATACCTCACCTCGTTCTCATGAGAATACCTCACATCGTTCTCATGAGAATACCTCACATCGTTTTCATGAGAATACCTCACATCGTTCTCATGAGAAAACCTAATATCGTTCTCATGAGAACACCTCATATCGTTCTCATGAGAATACCTCATATAGTTCTCATGAGAATACCTCATATCGTTCTCATGATAATACATCACATCGTTGTCATGAGAACAACTCACATCATTCTCATGAGAACACCCCACATCGTTCTCATGAGAACACCCCACATCGTTCTCATGAGAAACCTAATATCGTTCTCGTGAGAACACCTAATATCGTTCTCATGAGAACACCTCATATCGTTCTCATGAGAATACCTCATATCTTTTTCATGAGAATACATCACATCGTTCTCATGATAACACCTCATATCGTTACCATGAGAATACGTCTTATCGTTCCCATGAGAATACCTCATATCGTTCCTTTGAAAATACCTCATATCGTTCTCATGAGAATTTCTCATATCGTTCTCATGAGAATTCCTCATATCGTTCTCATGAGAATTCCTCATATCGTTCTCATGAGAATACCTAATATCATTCTCATGAGAAAACCTAATATCGTTCTCATGAAAATACCTCATATCGTTCGCATGATAATACCTCATATCGTTCTCATGATAATACATCATATCGTTCTAATGAGAATACATCACATCGTTCTCATGAGAATACCTCATATCGTTCTCATGAGAACAACTCACATCGTTCTCATGAGAACACCTCATATCGTTCTCATGAGAATACCTTATATCGACAATATATATTTATTAGCAGCTGGCTTAATCTCTATGATTTAGAACACTCTTTTGCCCCTTGGATGATTAAATAGCTTTTATTTAGTTTAAGATTGTTCACTGACCTGTCTTAGATCAGTGGCAGCCCATTGGTCGCAAGGAAACGCATTCAGTTCAACATTGAGTTGAAACCAATCAGATTTGTACCCGTGACTCAGCGTCTGCGACGTTCATTGGTTCCTCTGTTTTGGGCTGAAGAGGTAAGTGAAATACTGTGTTTCCACCTAGTATACAGGGTAAAAATTAAGTCTTAGGACGACTTTATAACTTTAAAACGAACAGAGATTTCACAACTAAATTTGGCATTTAATTTATGGTAATAGTAAGCTACATTTTTGTGAAAATAATCGGATGTCACCTATGTGGGACCTATAGGGGGTAAGTTGAAAATCTTGCAGGTAATCATTGGTTGATATGTATATCAAATAAAGGGTCTTGGTCAACCAAAAACAATTCCGCAAACTAGATGTCGATCGGACAGCCGAGCCAAAAATTACAGCTATTCTTCATTGAATTTTCAATGCTATTATACACTACCTCCTCAGGGGGGCTCCCGCTAGAAGACGGAGGAAAATCATAAACGGAGACATAGGTTGTGCACATGAAAAAGGTCTTTATTAGTAGAATACAATGTCGCAAATTTGAGCTCAAAAGAACATCTGAAGAAAAATTGCAGCCGTTTCAAAATGGTAGATTCGTGAAATCTTTGAACGGCTGCCATTTTTGACTCGGTTGTCCGTTCGAGGTACGGTTTGCGGCAATGTTTTTGATTCACCAAGACCTTTAATTCTATGTTAATATCAATCTGTGATTAACTTCAAGTTAAACTTACTCCCTATGGGCCGTCCCCCATAAGTGACATCCGATCACCAAGTACAGAAAATAGCTCACTATTACTAGTAATAATATGCAAAATTTTATTGTGATAGCTCTTTTTGTTTAACTCAATAACTTCTTTATTCGACCAAATTAACAAGTACAGATTTGCATTAGACATGTCAAAAAAATATATCTTTACGTCTAAAATATAAATAAAAAAATTGTTCTTCAACCAGATTAGTGACTGGCAAGCTTCTTTATACGCATGAACTTAATTTTCAATGTTATAAAGTCGTCCAAGACTTAATAGTCACCCTGTTTAGTTGACTTGTTAATTAATGGGTTCTGCAAATAAGCAACACGATACTAACACAATTAACTGTATTTTATTGAATCTATAAAATTAACCAATAACAGCTAATGAGCTTATTTCTTTAACTTAACCAATGTGAAAATTATAATTAATCACTACTAGTGTTACAATTAAACTAATTTCCATCCAAAACTTAGGATGGCTTTTATAAACTTTATTTACAATTATTAACTTCAAAGTGGCTTTACTAATTTTACACTATAAGTTAACTATAAGTTAAGTGGCTCTAAGGCCGGCCGCACACAGATGCAGCATTTCACCTGAAAAAGTGTTGCGAGGCAAAATGTTTCGCTGGGTACGAGCTCCCCATGTATTTCAATGGGACGCCGCACACTGATCAAGCAAACGTTGCGAGGCGCCTCAAAACGCCTTGAAACATTTGAGCAGTTGCTCGACGAATGGATCCCATACAGCACGATGTTTGATGTTTCAAGGAGCAAAACGTTCTGCGCATGCGCCACGTCCCTTCTAGCTAGTAAAGCTTAGTGGCTTTCAAAATTCAATTGAGCATTTGATGTTTAAAAAATAACTCTTCTTTGAAAAATGAATTTTGAAGTAGTAAAATAATTAAGAAATTAGCAAGGTTACTCATTAATATATTTATTTATATATAGTTATATAGTTTTAACTAGTTATATTGTTTTTTTATTATATAGTTATTTATATAACCATCACGCCATTATCTAATAATAATTTCTTACGGTATTTAAAACCCTTCCTATAAAATAGTATAGCAATTATTTGACAATAATTGTTAAATTTCCCTGGATCTGATTTAATTTCTGAGAGGAGTCTATCATCAGATTGATTGGGTGAACCCAATGTTGTCTTTCTATTTTATTTAGTCCAGCATTTTGCAAAAACTGACATAATAGCTATGTTGACTTCCTCGTCACATTTGTGTTAAAACAATACTGTAGTATAGGACCAGTTAATCTTATTTTTTACTTTTTGCTTGAAACCAAATAAACCATGCTTGAACCTCCCGCACACTGAAGAAGCAAATAAACAAAACGCTTCAAGCAAATCGTTGTGCAACATTTTGCTTCAGGTAAAATGCTGGATCAATGTGCGCCCAGCCTAAGTTAACTATAAACAAAGATTCGTCAAAACAGTGTTCAACTTATTGCTACGTTGCAATTTGCATGACCAATGATTAACAAAACGAAAAATGCAATTATTATTGAATAAATTAATTTATTTCCATTGAGTAATAACTTATTACAGACATTGACAATGCTTGGAAATTGACTGGCCGCTTGTCAGGTGGTACGGACAGTTAGAACAAATAAATAATAAACAACACTAATTAATTGTGAAAACTTAACAAAAGGTAGAAAGTAATTTCATTCTTAGATGCAACTATTGACCTTTAAATAATTGATATTTTGCTGTGCAGTAAGCCAGAGAGAAATTTGTTTACAGAAAGATTTTAAATTAGCAAGATTTTAATGTTTGAAGAAATTTGATTAAAATACTCGTTAAACCTAATGTTATTTAAATAGATAAATTGAAAATCATTTCAGGCAAATGGAAATTCGCTTGGACGGCGGGTTTGCTGCGGCGTGGGTATTGTTAAGATTAGTTTAGATTAACTTGTTTGGTTTAAAAATGGCTCTGACTGACTAACTACTGGATTGGTTAACGACCAATTATATAGTACTAGCTGGCCCGACAGACGTCGTCCTGTCCTAATGTGGTTTTATGTCAAACGCTCGTTCATTTTCAAGATGAGCTCGTTCACATGGCTCAATCACGTCCTGGTTGAAGTTCGTTCGCTCACTCACCTTTATGTTAGAGCTCGTTCGCTGCACTCACTTGCCTTCAGGTTAGCTCGTTCGCTACGCTAACCCACCTCTAGGTTGAAGTTCGTTCGATACGCTCATTCACCTTTTGGTTGCATATTAGCTGTTGTCATAAATTAAAAAAAAATAATAGTTCTGCACCCTGTTGGTAAACCTATTAAATTTTTAATGCAATTGAACATCACTTAATCAAATCTTTAGTGGAACCAGCTGTTAAGATTCTTTAATTCCATTTAAATATGAATACTCGTAAGGTTAACATAGGAAACTCCAGAACCACTGGGGTGGAGCCCTTTTTACGGATCTGCACCAAACTTCACACAAACCATTGTTGAATAATGCTTAATAATACCTGAAAGTTTCATAACAATCTGTCGAGCGGTTTCAGAGTCCATAAAGGACAAACAAACAAACAAACATACAAACAAACATACATTGGATTTTATATATATATATAGATATAGATTACTGTTTCATACCCTTAGTTAAACAGCTGGAAATCGTATTTATGGAAATCATTATAACCATCGGTTTACATATAGCATGGCTTTATTCAGTAAAGGTAAATTACCACATCATTAAAGTCATAAATCATTAGTTTTGATCGGGTCTGGTTAACCAATGACAAAAAAGGATACAGATTCTTGGAATATATTGTGGCGAACGCGAACGTTAAATAATTACTCGGTGGTATAACTATGATTGAATTAGAGCAGGTGTTAAATTGCAACTTGAAATAATTAAAAAGTTTGTTCGGAGTACAACACGTGTCAGTTGTTTAGAATCTCTTTTGAATCCATGGATGAAATGGTTTTTGTGAAATTTTATCAAATGGATGTGAAAGTCGCTAGAGCTTAATGTGAGCCTTCATTCGTGTAGTTGACCAATGAAAAATCTACTGGTATTCAATTTGTAGATTACATAAACCCACAAAACATTTCAAAACTGTTTTAGCAATCATACAAAGAGGTGCAATTTCGACGATTAAAGATTTGTTGTATTCTCTTTGTTAAACTGTGTGTGTTCTCACTTGGGATGAATATTTCAAAATGAATTATATTTTCAATGTTTTGGACCGTATATTTGAGCCACCTTTGTGGAAAAAATGAAACAAATCGCACTCACGGAAATTGTTTTGCAGCGTAAGTGCTGCGAAAAATGTATAAGTGTTTTATTATAATAGAGCCCAGTCGGTTTAGTAGTTTTTGAGATTAGCTCATACAAACACACATACATACAGACACCACCTCTTCTTTATAATAGTATAGATTTTTAGACTCATGATTTATTTGCTGCAGTATCATCATTCTTTCACCATTATTAGAATTTTTTTGGAGTCATTAGGGAATACTCTTCCATGAGAACTAAATTCAATAACGTAAATCTAATTTAATTTGTTCTTAAAGAGTTTCCAAAAATCCTTCTACGTAATAGTTGAATATATTGCTGAGACTATTTAATATTTTACATCAAAATTTGCTAAATATCCGTTCCATGGTAAGACACAACTTATAACATTACAATATTATTACGTAAAATCTTCCTTAGGCTTTACGAATGCATAGCCACACAAGGAAATATATTTTTATTTATGTTTAATTTACGCTTAAATAATCGTAGAATTCTTCACATGAAACACATAGGTTTGGAAAGCTTGCCTTAAAAACTTTAATTAAGTACATTGTCTCGCGTCTAAAAATGCATCTACCATCAAAAATAAGGAAAAATAAATATAAATTAATAAAACAGCCAAGCCTCCAAATAAGGAATAAGTAGGAAAAAATTATAAAATAAAAAAAAACACACACAATAAACATTGAGCATGAAGTGGATATACATTGTCACGTAAATCACAGAATTGTTATATAAAATAGATACTCAAATCTAATTCTAAGCTTTCCTTATTAATTAAACAATAGTGAATTTGTTGCAGCTGTTGGATCTAGATGGCAACTTGATGGGAATGCTGGAAGCGTCTTTGTTTCGACCAATCAGAGCCGTTGATGTCATCAAGTGGCTCTGTGTCGTCGGAGGAGTCGGACTTGGCATTCTGGGAATTGTCCTCAAGATCAGAAAGACCCGAAGGGACAAAGTCCACGAAATCAGTGGAGGTAACGAAACCGAATTTGACTACAAAAGCAAACCTAAATCTGCAGTAAAACCTGATAAAGTTGACAGCGAAACGGAAGTACTTGATCCTTTTTATGTTAGAACGCAGGACAATTATGGGAACAAGGATAAAATCAAGAATGGTCTGCAAGCTGTGATTTCGACTAAGAGTGCCCCAACAATGACCAATTCGAGACCAACGAGCTTTGCGAAACTAGATGTACAACAGCTATTGAATCAAGGTAATAAGGGTGTTGTAAGCAAGTTTATTTCAGGCCAGGAAGAATCGAATGACGCACCTTTATCTGTAAATGATGACAAGAGAAGTAACACTGAAGAAAGTCCTCAGAGTTCAATTGCCAACAGTGGAGACACTGCAAATATTAATACTTTAACTCAATACACAGGAGTAGCTTTACAAACCCCATCTAGTTCCGCTCTACTTCAATCACCAAAGACGATTGCGTCTCTTGAACATCAAATGTCTTTTCAAAGTGCTGATGCTTCTAATATCCTTTCCTCCCCTGGAAACCCTACGCATGAATTACCGATTGCAGCTGAAGCCGAAAACAATAGAGAGAGTGAGGTTACATTCGAAAAGGTTCCCCAACTTATTGTAAATAACAACATTGATACGTCTACAATAGGCATATCAGAGCAAAATGAAAACCCACAAATTGACGTTGAGAGTCAGTTTATGCAGATGAAGAACGCAGTTGAAAAATCTTTTCCCGACGAAAACGATTTGCAAATCATTGATTCTACTGATATAAATGGCAATGAAAACACATTAAACGTCCACATTATGGATGATAAAACCTATGACAACAAAGAGAATGACCCCCCAGGAAGTGAAAGTGCTAATAATGCAACGGAGGAAGAAATCAAAGCAGTTGAAGATGACATTAATAGGTTAGTGGCAGAAATGGCTGAACTACTACCACGAAACAACAGCTTTGGAGCTCGTGATCAATAAACGAATACTGATTTTGAACTATTTTGGTTTCTATTTCATTATTCATTTTTCTGAATTAGGAACCTCAATACTTTAACTACATTAAGTGCCTTATTTACATTTTTTTTATAAATAGTCATAATCATAGTTAGTCTACAACACCATTTTGTTCCTTTGTATTTCCATGTAAATAAATATAAAAAAAACGATAGCTCAGACGAGAGCTGGAATTTTTAATGCAGAGTATGTTATGCAATTTGGTAATTTAGTTATTCTTTATTAAATCCTTCTGTATAACATTAATTAGTTTGGTTTGTGCAATTTGAATTTGTGTAAGGAACAAAGGGAAATAAGAGCAAATAGTAAAACCGAAAATGTAAAAGTACTCTTATTTTGACAACGCATGTATAGGCCTACAGTTATCTCAGCATACGTTCTGCCTGAACATAAAACTGGAATTTTTAAGCTGCTCCAATGTCTTGTATATTTTTACGGAGAAATCCTAGAGCAAAACATAAACAAACGGTTTCTTATTATTTCCTATTACTCATTTTATTATTTGTTTTCCAAGTTTGTTTCTAATAAAAAAATTAAAATTATTCTTTTTCTTCAAATTTTATATTATTATTAAGTTATAAGTATGTAATTAAAGTAATTAGTTAAAGTAAAAATATTTATGTTATTAACCATTCCAAATCAGAAATACTTTTATTAATATTAAATATTGTCATACATGTTCATAAAATCTTGATGGCATGCATAAATAAAATAAAATCATTAAAAGATATGCGCATAAAGATTTACTTTTAAACTAAATGTTTACGAAAAATTAGTTTCCTAGAACACTATTTGATATAAAATAATCTTTTGTGTTCGTTGAAAGAATACATGTTGTTATTTCTTCATTATCATGTTATTATTTATTTTGTACTAACAGTTTCTTGCTTTTGTGGGGAGCAGAAAACCCATATTGTAACCTGTAATAAATTATTAATGAAGATGTAAAACCTTCAATGTTATAAATACAACATTTGTTTTAAGACCATACTATTTTGACGATTTAAATTATTTCTTGAAAATCGAGTTTCAATCATACGGATAGTTTCAAACGTAATACGTCGCAAAATCAGCTTAACAGAAAATGTTTTTCAACACTTCTTTGTGAATTTGTTAAGAAACATTATACCCAGCTGTTTTACTATGACCCTGATGAATTCCACAAGTCCACCGGGAAAACAACAATGAAAATGACAATATTATATTAGACTAGACATTTTTATTTTCCATAACTTTAAACCTTTTCTGATTGTTAATAAAACTTCAAATACAATGCGTGAATTTGTGTAACTCTTCCATTCACTGTACTAAAAAAAGTTGTTTTTGACAGTAAACAGCCAAAATATTGGTTTAGTCAAACATTGACCCCAACAATACCTCTAACTTGAATAATTTAGAAATATTGGAGTTAAAGGAAATAAACGGATACATGGACGAATGCCACGGCCATTTGTTGGAAATGCAAAGAAGGATTTCTTGTTATTCTTATTGCTTTCTGATACATTCCTCTTATCTCTGTTGACGTAAAAGAATTTTTATTGAAATTGCAGAATTTTGAGAGAATTTACCCAATCATATAACTTGAAAAGTAAAAGAATTTACCCAATCATATAACTTGAAAAGTAAACTAGAGAATGCCTGAATAGGTGAAACATGAAGTGAGTTTTACCGCCACTTGTGCAACTGTTGACATAAGGTATGTACCTATAATATTCTAATTAAACACTTCAGGGGCTACACAAAGAATTTATAAAATAAACATTAACTATTCAGAGGCCTATTCGTGACCTATTAAAAAGTTATTTGTAGGCATATTAGTTTATTTTTCTGTGTTTTTTAAGTATATTCTCAATCCATAACACTCATTATCATTTCATTAACAAACCAATTTATTTATAAAATGGGTGGAATAAATTGAATGCTTGATACTTTAATAAAACACAAAAAGCTTTGTATTATTCATATATTGTTTTTCATGGTTTATTAATTTACGTCACCTATATAAACTATTGACCGCTTTCCTGCTATATTTCACTGCATTATTTCAGTTTACCTTGAGTGATAGTTTGTATGCTGCTCGCTTTAAGTTAAGACAGTATGCTTTATGGCAGTTTACTTATAGTCAATGACTTAACTGTACCTACATCAGTAAGGAACATAAGGAATTTGATGTAAAAGACTATTTATTGTGTAAAAAATAGATTTATGTTTTAGTGTTTTACATTTAAATATGTTTCTTACAACTTTTGGATCAGTCGCACCCAGTTTACCAATCATTGTTTTGAATAATAACTTTTGCAAGGTATACTCTGTTTTGATGAACCGTGAAATTTTAGTGTTTAACTTGTCTATTCATAATTTCAGTTGTAAATAAATTGTAAATTTATGCTTATCATTGCAAGTGCAAACCAATAAGAAACGTTGTGACAAGAAAAAATTAACCTTTCAAACTTTTTTGTGCTTTAAACCCTTTCTAAGACTTAGCTATATCAGACACTGAATTTCCTTTACATTTATAAACCTAAACGGCGTTGTTAATGAAAGATTGGCGTGGCTTATACACACTTGCACACTTGCACTCTACTTAAATTCCACATCGTAGTCAGTGAGCTGTAGCATTACGATGAGATAGCTGATTACAAGCGAGAGCATCTTGGTAACTAGAGACATGTCTATAGAGAAGACTCCTCCAACACTGAAGCTGACTCTGGCGTTGAACGTCGCTAGAGAGAACAGACTGACTGTCTCGATGATCACATCAGGAGAGTTACACGTGACCAGCTGATGGGCAAGGACAACTGTCTTGTGAGCTTCTTGACAACAAGCCTCACACACGGCGCAATGAGACAACAGAGCTGTCAACTCTAGAACTATGAAGATGAGTCTTGGCCAAGTGAATTGCTCGGATCCAGCTGTGACTAGAAACGTGAATCCTTCACTACACAAGTATAAACTGCGTTCAAACTGGACACAGAGCAAGAAGAAAGTGAAGTATGAATTCATCTTTCGAACAACTTCGTGAAGGTCTATGTACAGTTGAAATGTGTTAGCCAACTGTGAAGCTGTTGTTTGGGAGCTTACAGCTCCTTTTGATGAGTTTACTTCAATGATTCTTTCACTAACAGCTCTGTAAAGTCTCTGGAGGTTGATCACGAATATTATGTGATATAATTGGGGTGCCAGATAACAACCAAATGTTAGGCAATATAGAATTACGTAGAAGATTTTACCAGTCCAAGCGGCAACTGCTAGAGCCAAGTACTGTGCAAGGACCCCACAGAGAATCATCTTCTGTTGTCTTGACGTGTATGTCAAGTTTAGACGATCCATCAGACGTCCTACATCTGCCCAGATAGTCTCACATTGGTCAAAGTATTTCCAGTTGTAGATCATGCTCACTACTGGTGCGATAACAAAAGCAAAGTCCCCTATAGCAGCTATCACTGCATTAAATGTTAGTTTGCGTTCGCCATTTGCAAAAGAAAAAAATCTACTTTGGCATAATAATATTGCGACTGCTAGGATTACGACACAGACTATTTTGCTACGGCGATGTATCCCAGAGCTGAACAATATCCATTCTAGGGGTTTGTATATCATCATTGTACCATTTATTCTCTCCTCCTGTTAAAGGGATTGCAGCAAAAACCACTCAGGACACCGTTACTAAGGAAAACATTCATATATATCATTAGTTTAAGTGTTTAATATGTCCAAATATGCTGTCCAATCGAAAAATGTGTTGAGATGACAAGTGTGACACGATCAAATTAATTGTGTTAAAATGTGTGCCACTCTTACTTTTGGCTTTATTAGATACTTGCTTTTACCTACTTGAGAATCTGTTTAAAAAATTTCTAAATACAGGGTGAATTTTAAATGAGTCCCCCCCCTACTTTTTTCTACATTTCTTAAGATATCATCTCCGGACCACGTCAGATCATTGTTGAGTAGTAAGTACTTTATTTTGACTGGGTATACATTTTTGGCCACCATCTTGGATCCGCCATATTGGATACAAAGTTTTTTTTTCAAATGTAAGGGTAGGGTTGTAACCCATTATTTCAAACTAGACTTTTACGTTGATTACAATGCCACAATTAGTTTTTAAAAATCTTGATCCGTTCTAAAGTTATAAGGACTTTTTATAACTTTATTTTTAGCGCATTTTAACATTGTGCATTTACAAACTAAGACCATAATCTCAAAATAGTGCTAGATAAAGATAAGTATACACCATCATTCATTGCCGACATATTTTCACTTGGCTATGACGGATGTAGTTTTTTCAGCCGCCATCTTGGATCCGCCATTTTGAAATGTAATCAATTAATTTAAATATGAAGGTGGTGTTGTGACCCATCATTTTGAGCTACCTTTTTATGCTGAACTCATTGCCGCAATCTGTTTTTCATTTGCATCATTGGTTTTTGAAATATTGAAATTTTAAATAAGACTATTTTAATATTTCATCAAGACAGCTTGATAACCAAAAACGGATTGCAGCATTGAGTCCAGTATAAAAAAGTAGTTCAAAATGATGGGTCACAATACCACCTTCATATTTAAATTAATTCATCACATTTCAAAATGGCGGATCCAAGATGGCGGCTGAAAAAACTACATCCGTCATAACCAAGTGAAAATATGTCGGCAATGAATGGTGGTGTATACTTATCTTTATCTAGCACTATTTTGAGATTATGGTCTTAGTTTGTAAATGCACAATGTTAAAATGCGCTAAAAATAAAGTTATAAAAAGTCCTAATAACTTTAGAACGGATCAAGATTTTAAAAAAATAATTGCGGCATTGTAATCAGCGTAAAATTCTGGTTTGAAATAATGGGTCACAACCCTACCTTTACATTTGAAAAAAAACTTTGTATCCAATATGGCGGATCCAAGATGGCGGCCAAAAATGTTTACCCAGTCAAAATGAAGTACTTACTACTCAACAATGATCTGACGTGGTCCGGAGATGATATCTTAAGAAATGCAGAAAAAAGTAGGGGGGGAACTCATTTAAAATTCACCCTGTATATTTTTTAAGATTGATACATTCGACTAATGTTGTTTTTACTTAGAGTGAATATACACCTGAAATATTTTGGTAAAGATATAAGTTTTGTTATAATTTGTATATATTTATTTACTTCATAAATAAATGTGGCTATGTTTCATGAGTTCAATTGTAAAAATATAAATTTTACCGTACTATATTTCAAGCTACAATCACACTTTCAAAATTAAAATATTAACAGATAAAGAAACATTTCCTTTTTCTTGTTTTTTGCTAAATTTGTGTTTCCTAAAAATTACGAGGTTATATGTTTTCAATATTTCTACTACTTAATATTAAATGCAATTTGAATTAGTATATTTCTTCGTTGTCAGTTTTAAAATCAATTAAAGTATTGAAAGAGATTTCATATTACTACAGTAAGATTAGGTAAAGTTATAATCTCTTATCCATGGAAGCCGAGTATTAAAACTGAACAATGTTCCAACAATTTAATGAAGTTTCTGATTCAATCTTAGATGAAATACACACTTTTCATGCATTTCCAAAGGGAAAGATTTTTAAAACACTCAGACTGTAACAAACCTGTGAATTAGGCAATTCTACAGTCGCTATAGTGAATTTTATTACGAACCATTGCAAAATAAAAAAAATATCTAAAAAAATGTGACTAGTTGAAATACTTTTACATGCTTACAGGTGTTTTGTATTTAAAATGAAAAATTGAGTATGTTATTGTGTTCATGAACCACATATGCAAGCCATCCTCGGTAATTAACCATTTGTAACTCTTCTAATATGATAACTGAGACAGAAAAATATAATAAGGTTACCAAGTGTCACAAAAATCATCATGCAAAGCACTTACAATGTAATACAATTTACTTGGACGTATCGCAATACAAACGCCACTTGTTACACAAATACAATTCCCATTAACATGATTATGTCAATTTGTGTCATGGATACAGTACGTTTGCGTTAGATAGGTATTTTTACGTAGGGTAGTAACTTCCAGCAAAAAAGATGTTGGTCTACAAACCACTAGATTGGATGTTGTTTATCAGTGGAGTTCATATCAGCTACTACCATAAGGGTAGCTGTTTCGCCTGTGCATGCAAATACAGATCCCTCCATGAATTCATGAATCTCATATCAAATTGTGGCGCTACGATAGTTCCATCAGTCTTCGTGTTTTACAACGTAAAATACTTTGACTATTGTGAACAAATGTGGGCAGACGTGGATAGCTTGATAAACAGTTTGCTCTTGTCAAATATGTTTCGACAGAAAAATATGATTTTGTTCGGAGCTATCATAGCACTTTTGGTTCAAGCAAGTGGCATATGGGTTTATGACCCTATTAAAGCTGTCATTATAACCTTAAACTATTTGAATTTCCTGGCTCCTCAAGTGTATCACATGGTTTTCGTATTAACTGCCCAAAGGATCTTCACAGCTATCAATGAAAGGGTTGCAGAGGTAAGATTGTCAACAGGAGCAGTAAGCTCTCAAACAACAGCTTCTCAGTTGGAAAACACATGCAAGCACTATCTCGATCTCCATAAAGTTGTTCAAAAAGTGAACTTGTACTTCAGTCTTCACATGCTTGCTATTCAGTTCATCCGCTGTTTGTTCTTGTGTAGTGAAGTCTTTACTATTCTAATTAATACCGGTACCAGACCCGAAAAGGTTACTATTATCGGTGTAAGCCTTGTGATTCTAGAGTTGACAGTTCTCCTGGTTCATTGCGCTGCGTGTGAGGCTTGCTGTCAAGAAGCTCACAAGACAGTTGTCCTCGCCCATCAGCTGGTCACGTGTAACTCTCCTGATGTGATCATCGAGACAGTCAGTCTGTTCTCTCTAGCGACGTTCAACGCCAGAGTCAGCTTCAGTGTTGGAGGAGTCTTCTCTATAGACATGTCTCTAGTTACCAAGATGCTCTCGCTTGTAATCAGCTATCTCATCGTAATGCTACAGCTCACTGACTACGATGTAGAATTTAAGTAGACTCGATCAAAAAACCTCAAATATGAAGCTTGCACTAATTCTTTGACTTACACTTCACTTCTGACCAGTTTTTGCAATTTGTAGATCTTTAAATGTATATAAGTAAATGTGATCACCTACAGCAACTTGGCGAAGCAGTAGCATTAAACAATTATACCCAATTAGCTGGGTAAAATATTATGTTAAAATGTCACATCGGTCGAATATTCTGTATTTAAATAAATACACTTAAAAATATATATTTTAAATATAAATACCCAAAACATTCCCAGTTTACGCAAAAATAACATTGGCGTTATTACAATTCATGGAACGTTTTTGAAGCGTATCTTTCGCATTAGAAGAGATTCCGATTAACATGATGAAACTGGTAAATGAAAAACACCGCATTCCCTGGCAATATTTGAGATTATTCCTGATGGTAAAATTATTCGGGGCTTCTGATTGAGAAAGTTTCTAGAAGAAGAGAGGAATCTTGATTCTTTTACTTCAATAACTCAAGCTTTTCTTATTTTTCCTATATTTTACCGACTGGACAAAACACAGCAAAAAAATGTAAAAAAATGCAGCTCTATTGGCAAACACTTGTAAAGATTCCTAAATTAATCACGCTATTTTTAATTAGACTCATAGTTTCAACATAGTATTTGAAAACGGCTAAATCATTATAAAAATAAACTATTTTACACACTTTCATAACAAACAAATTTCTATATTTCGGCATAAGCCTTTTTCAGGAACAAATAAACAAAACAAATTAAGTGTTTACCAATTTGTATCAGATGGTTTATAAAAAATTAAAAATAATGTAATTTATAGGAAGTAAAATTTAGATAAAAAGAAAGAAAAAGAATTGTATACTATCTCATATTTAGACCAGATGGTGTTGTAATTGATGATTTTAATTGATGTTTTAATTGATTAATAAGTATTAATTGATGAGCTTGCTCAAGCTGTCTTGATTTTAAGTCTGATGCGTCTTTGGCAAATTTTCTTATTCCTTTTAATGGATAACAATGTTGAAAATTTTGAGAATGCTCTCTCGCATGAATAGTCACAGGTTTTTGTATATCAGGATGGTTTACACATCTGTGACCATTCGTACGTACTATAAGAGCATTTGTCGTTTTGCCAATGTAGTCTATAGGACAGTTTTTGCAGGAATTTAATTAGACTAAAAGTGTGTTCGATTTAAAATGTAAAAGTATTTAGGCTTATAGCACAAATATAATATTCTAACAATGTTTTAATCGTTTTATGATTCATATAAATCCAATGGTTTTGGGTAATTTTGTATTATACATATTATTTTGTAATGTTTGAAAGAAACATCTGGATTATCTCGTTTAATTCACTGAAAATATAATCTTGCTTTAAAGTTGAACAATATGAACATTATTTTTTAAATGTTAACTAACATTTAATTGTTATTTTATTTGCGTTTTGGTTTTGGTAAGGATTCAGAAATATTTTTATATTGTCATTATGTCGACATTTACTTTAGTTTTTTTTTACCAGTTTGAAACCATTAGACAAGCATTAGATGTCAGGTAATCACAGTAAAATATTGTGTACTAAATAAATAGCCGAAATATAAAAAGATAAAGTAAAAACATATTTATAAACTTACAACTTTATTGAGGAAAGCCTAATTCAGTATTAAAGTATGATGTAATGACGTCATAAAGGAGAATTCTTCCTACTCAACACATCTGTCTTTCCCATCTTGTGTGATTAGTGTGTGCGAATAAATTGTATGCAATAGGGTGTAAATACTCGTAAAAACTGACGACTCCAAAAAAACCAACTTGTAATGTTAAATAATTATTGATACACAAATGGAACGAAACCATTGTAAAATTAGGGCACTGGACTTCGGTCAAGAAATCTCTGGCTCAAACCACACAAATAGCCAATAACATTGAGCTATGTCTTAGTCCTGTTGATTAGGAGCCCTGGATAAATAGGAGGTTGACATATCGAGTAAAGAATTACGTACATGAATTGATGATTGAGTGAAAGAAATTGGAATTTTCACTATAATATCAATACAATTCTTACTGTTCGGGATAAAAAGAATATTATCCTAAAAAATATACGATAAGAAATATTTTGCATTGTCAATATTCCCTCTTGTAAATAGAATTCAATAAATAAATATTTTTTAACATTATTATGTTATTATTTTTTCCCTTTGCATTTTCATCTTGTAGCCTACAGTCTATCACCCCATCTTTTCCATTTTTCTTTATATCAATTATTTATATTATTTGTATAAAAGAGATCTTATTGCTTTTACGTTGTACTGTAGTTGTTGACGGACTACTTATTAGTTACAAATGAGGAAGCGTTATACATTCCAAATATAAAAAAAAAACTTAAAAGTAAAATACAAAGAGTTATTAACAATTATTAATTGTATAGGCACTTGGTTATTTTATAGTACCTCTTATCAATTTTGGTAGAGAACATCTTTTAAAAAACGAATACAATAAAAATTGCAAGTACTCAAAACATTTAATATAATACTTGATTCAAATTTCTATCAAATCTAATGTTTATTGCTACTATTTAATTGGTACAACAGGAGTAAATAAAATTGCCAAACACTTTTGGAACACAAATGTCAAAACATTTATCATCAGTGAGAACGATTCAAGCCAGAAATTAACAATTAATTAAGAGAAGCCACGAATCTTTATCCTTCGTTCAACATCATTCACTTTGTGAAATTACAAGGATTATTTTAAATGATTTTAGCTGGTCTACTTTCTTTTGCTTAACAAATTGAAACTAAAAGTACATTTCTAGAAGTTAATTAATTGTTTAACCACTCGTTGAACATGTTAAGGGAATGTTTTTTTATTAAGGAAATTTATTGAATATCACTAAATACAACACCTTAGGAGGAGTTGGTGGATTCAGGGTATGGCTTAGGGGTTACATTTTAGATGGAATTTCCAAAACAGAAAACTTTGAAGGAGGTAGGGCAATTCCCATTGACAAAATGAAGCTATAACTAACAACCCGTGATAAATTCCTATTAGAAAAGCTGTAAAAAATGTGAAAGGCTCTTTGCAACAATTTTTAGGATATTTAGACTCAACGTCCAAAAGCAGTATACACTATAGTATCCCCGATTGACAGAGTAGTTTTAAGCATATGCTGTTGTATTTTATCTGAATTGAATGAACTCTTGAACCTCGTTTGACATCGGTAAACCAAATTGCACCAATTAAAACTAATGATTTACAGGTTTAACAATGTGGTAAACTAATAAGGCTTTTGCCAAATATAGTCGCCCGTGCTTTTCATTATAAATTAGTGAATATGGTTTTCCAGTTGTATCAGAATATTTTTAACCATATATGTTCACCGAATTATGATATATAATATGATCTTTTAAATATAATTTAGACGCAAAGAGGTTAACGTTACGTACCATTTTTGAACAAATATTTTTAGAATTGGCCAAATTTCATGCAGCATTTGAAACGACCAAAGATCAAAACTATCATTATACTAATATCATAAATTATGTGAATCATAGATAATGTATGTATGTTTTTGTACGAGTCTGAAGTTCCATCAAGTGAAAACTACTTGACCGATTGAGCTGACATTTTGCAGAGAGATTATTGATAGTCTTAAGAAACACGTAGGCGTATTAAGGTTGTGAGAATCCTATTGGGCTGCCCCACGGTGGTTAAAAGTTATATATTATTCTTATGATTGCAGCTGTTTCAACTAAACTAGTTGGTTTTATGATATTTAATATCATAGTACAGCCAATCTGGGAGCTTTAGACAAACAATACTATTAGGCTGGATTTTCTCCCATTGACTACTGTCATGGGTCCAGTCTCTAGCCAAACATCCCCACTCCTACCCTCTTGCTTTCCACCAGCTCGGCCACACTTTCAGACAAAACACCCTGTACTACACGATTCTATAGCTTGTTACCTATCTGTCACCGATAGCAATATAATCGCTTCATTCACAGTCCCCCGAACTTTCCTATATTTACAAATGCCCATACACTATGACGTTGTTGCTCGGGTTTAGGTGCGGTGCACGGTGCATACTATACTTTATGTTAAATTACTAGGCACAATACTAGCAAAATATGTCAAGCCATATTTCAAAGCTTATGAACAGGAGAAAACATTTAAATGAAAACTCTTTACTAATGGTTATTAATGGAGCGTCGTTTTAAAATAATATGTGCAAGTAGTCTTAATATAGTGGAAAATTTTATTTTTTTAGTATGAAACATAGAAATAATTAATAAACTAGTTAAATAATCACAAAACCTAGATAACTAGTTTTTAGAGTGTAAATTTAGAAATATAAAAACAATCTACAGGTTTATCTCAAATATTTGCTGAAATATAAGTGATTTTGAAAAATACTGCATTTATCCACCCTTAAAAACTTTGGAGGACTGTAGGGGAAAAAGCAAGGGGATAGGGGTGGGGACTTTCGACTAGAGACTTGTCTACATGACAGTTTTCGATGGGAAAAAATTCAGCCTGATAGTATTTTTTGTCTATCGGCCTATTTTAGGAATTTTAGTCACTTTTAGAACTATAAACATTTAAGGTTTTACCTACACGGTGCAGTGGTATAATTTTTTTGCATTTTTGCCAATAGCTAATTTAAACTAAGCAGCAACAAAAAGCTGTGATAAACAATGATAACTGTCAAAGTAGGATTGGTTACAAAAAAAAAAAAAAACTAAAAAATTACGGAAAATATCATTAAAGCCAAATACACGTTAATAAACAAACAGTTAGAAAACTCAAACCATAGTTTCAAGTATTGCGAGGGTTTTCAGGCGATTTCAGGAAAAACATTAGCCTACTGATTTGAACTTAACAGTTAAGAATAGTTTATTCTTTTAGTAAAGATTTCTAAGTGACAAAGCTTGACCGGAATCCTAGACCACCTATTATATCTTGTCTTGTTTGTAGTCCAACGAACTGATCTCTCATCGCGTTGTATCTGATAATCTCTTTGACGCATTACGCAATGTTCTAATTTTATCTTAATGTATGCATTTATCTCTGAAACCCTGTATACATTACTTCTCATCCATTCACTCTAAGATTTCTTTTGAATATGTGTATATAGTAGTATAATTAGTATTTTTTAAAGTTTTATATTGCTACATGAAAAGTTGTTAGTTCATAGTTCTTGTGAAATCACTTCAGTACAAGGTGGGATAATTATTTTAACAGTAGAATAACAACTTTTACTTTTATCGTGTTTAGTCTTATGAAGTGTAGCTATACATTTAAGACATACGATTAAAGGTTAGTTAATTTAATAACTAGTTTGAAGTTTTTCATAACACCTTAAAGAAAAGCTTAAAAATACAATGATGGACAACTGATATAAATAAAGTCTTTGTTCTAATTTAGCAATAGTAACATTTTTACTTGCTTTAAATAAAGTTTTTCACATTGCTATTTAAAATAAATAAACAAAAAGTATACAAATAATCCTTTTCTGTGGTTTATGAATAATGTCCAATGTTATGAACAGTTGTACCCACATTACACATTTTTGTTAGTTTAGTTTAGCTAATTAAGTTAACTGGTTAATTATCAGATAGCTTAATTTTACTCGTATATATTAATTATTTAACAGTTTAAACCATTATTTGCAATAAATTTAATTAGCCAAAGTCATTTGCTGTTTGGGTCAACTTGTAAATAAAACCATTGGTTTCTAAATTCTAACCCCTTTTTACTAGTTGTAGACTTTAAAAAATTGAGAGAGTAATAATTTACATTCCAAATATAAAGCACACGCATAATAATTTACACCTGTGTTATCACATAAACTGCCTGTAGATTTTTGAATTTAAGATGTATTAGTGTTTAATTTATTTAGGCGCGTATTTAAAATCACTTATTAGTGATGTTTTACTTCGTCAAAGAAACTGTTATTCTATTGAAAAACCATCGACAGTAGAAAAGAGAGAAATGCAAAGTTGTGAATAAATATTTCAGATTTTGACTGTAATTCAATTACTAATAAAGATTATATAGTCTCGTACATCTATTAGAGTTCAACAGTTAGCTGGGTGAAAATTAACTTACTTAAGTAAAATATAAAATTGAAATATGTGTGACGATATAAAAAATAGGCCTGATATAAATTGATCAATACATTAATAGAGCTACACCTAATAATGTCATAGTAATATTTACCAGGCTCTACTTTTGAAACTTTGAAATTGATAAAAAAGTTAATTTATCATGAAATTTAAATTAATAGCATATCCTCTATTCAAGAATTTTTGATTTGGATTTTTTTCTAATCTTCGACGGTAAAACTTTTCTGAGAAGTTGAGGGAGAGTGTGTGTTTTCAAACAATTTTTAATAAGCTGTGCAAACACCTACAATTATCTATGTTTGTGCAATCAAACCCGTTTATAGACCCATAAACCCGACTCGGCTGGTTTAGTAATGAATAATATTTTGATATTTTATATTTCAGATGGTCATTAATGTAATGACGAGAGACGTGTGGCACGCAGAGCCTCCAAGAGTAGAGTCGATGATCATCAGAAAAGCTACGCACGTGTTTTGGATGAATGTGAAGAGAAACGTATGTTATACTAAGGTTCACTGTATCGAACTACTCAAGAGGGCACAGAGATACAACATGAGCATACAGAACCAGCGGGACATAAGATACAAGTAAGTAGCAATGGCACCAATGCCGCCGCGTCGGTGTGGCAACGTCGCACCGGCCGATGTGTTGCCATTGTAACAAGAATAACCAACGCGTGGAAATAAACATTGCATAGGCGCTCCATTGCAACAGTTGTTTCGATAAGCCAGATCTGCGGCGTTGCCACTTTTCTCTCACCGGGACAATGTATTGATAAAGGCCCTTTATCATATTGTAAAATCTGATGGCTTTTATATGTTTTATGTAGTCTTACTGAGAAAAAATTGAAAGTGTGCTTTACTGATTCGTTATAATAACATAGTTTTATATACAGTGTGTAAATTAAGTCTTGAAACAAATCTGTATTTTTTAAACCGAAATAGATAGAAATATTCTGTTTGTAGCTTTGATTCTTAACAAAGGTTCCGCAATTTTTTTTTAAATTTTCATAACCCCCTAACTGGGTAGAGGATAAGAGTGGCTTATTTTTCAAATAGCAACCCGTATTCAGTGACCCCTCATTTTGAAGGATTTGTCAAAAGAAATACAATGACGCAAGCCCGAGGCGGATATCTTACCCCTAGCCAAAATGGCGGGTATTCCAAAATGGGTGCTTTTTCACATAAATCAAATTTTGGAATGCCTGCCCTTTAGGCTAGGGGTGAGATATCCACCTCGGGCTTGCGTCATTGCATTTCTTTTGACAAATCCTTCAAAATGAGGGGTCACTTAGTAGGGGTTGCTATTTGAGAAAAATTAGTCACCCCCTACCCCGTACCCTATTAGGGGGGTTAAACAAATTTTTTATGTAAAAAATTACGGAACCTTTGTTAACAGTCAACGCCACAAACGGAATATTTCTATCTATTTCGGTTTAAAAACATACAGATTTGTTTCAAGACTTAATTTACACACTGTATTATTGTCGGTGTATTTGGTCAAGAAATATTCAATGTTGGCAAAAAGTAACAAATAAATATCAAAACATGCGTTTAAAAAGTGAATCATACATAAAAATGGTTTTGAGATCCATAAGTTTGATATATAAGTAAGAATATAATTTCTAGAATATAGTTTCCAATAATTAGAATATAATTTCCAATAAATATTGCCCTTGATCAAATATTACTATTCAATAGTAAGTTTTAAAATGTAATTTCAGCTGTTGAATACATTTATGTTTATTGTAAAATGATAACCGATTTTTCGGAGTCCACTGCGAAATAATATGGTTCATTTAGAAAAAAAAAACAAGCTAGTGAAAATGTGGATTAATTAAAATAAGTACATAGGTAACAGTAAATACATGGTGTTCAAAGGTTTATTGCGGACATTTTCCATCACGAATGTAAAAAAACAATACAATGACAAACAAAACAAACACAATGTTTTGTGATTTGTTATTAATTGCATGTTGTATCATGACTTGACTGCTATACAGTGCATATTTTTTGACTACTACCCTCGGTAGTGTATTCCAACTTAGGTTGGGCGTTTGTGTATTGTTAGTTGTAATGTGGTAGTTAAGTTTTTTCACCTGAAGACGGGATCAGATTCCAGATCCCGAAACGTTGTGTATTGTTTTTTACATTCGTGATGGAAAATGTCCGCAATAAACCTTTGAACAACATTAACTCACCATCACCAACAATGAACTTCAAACAAAGAAATACATGGTAATATAACTTAATTATTATGGATCCAAAATTAATTTCTCACCAAGTCAAACCAAAAAATACAATTTTCCTGACGTAATTTTTCAAAATGTCGGATTCTTTAAATCGTGAGCTAATTAATGAGGGTAACATAATGTACGAATATACAATTTGAGAATTATTCAGTTAAAAGGGCGAAGTATAAGAAAATATAAGCCATGATTAATACCTGAGCGTGGCCTTGGTCGATAAACTTGTACAATAAAGCTGTATGATTGAGCTCTTGTATGATAAAATACAGCTATTAATAAAGAATCTGTAAGGATTAGAAACATAAACAAATGATGCCACTGGCCCAAACATTATGCTAATATCTGTAAACTCTGATTTGAAAGTTTTTTTTTAAAGCACTACTTAAATATTTTTACAAACATGTTTATTTTAGGGACAGTGACGTCATATGTTTAAGTTTATGGTTCATATCTTTTAAAAGAAAAAAAAATATTTTTGTCCCTATTGACAAAGTATATTATGTAATTGTAGGATTTTTACGTATTCAATTAGTGGATTGCACCATAGTATTGGCATAGTTACGTGATCACATAACTGCAGTTACGAAGTGCACGTAGCTAGAGTTAGTCCCTTAACTATAGTGATTTGCCACAGTTTCATGGTCGGCGGGGACGGGTTCGTGTATGAAGGGAGAGGGTGGGGCCAACCCCCACTGCTACCTAGGGAATTCGCCAGGGTCAACTCGGAGAGTGTTGTTATCGGATTTATGGGCTTCTTCAACTCAGGTACGTGCCTTTCCTGATAACATAATAACTGTTAAAATATAAGTATTAATTATACTTTAGACTTATAGCACAGACAGAACCACACTTATAGAACACTTATAGAACAGACAGTTATTATTATTACAGATTATAATGTATGTACTTATAGCCAAAATGTAACGGAAATGGTCGTTCATTAATTGCGACAATGAGTTCCTTAATTGTGGAAGGAAGTGTCCAAGTCCTAAAAGTGTCCCAAAAAATATTCTTTAGTCGCGCCAAGCCCAAGTCAGGTTAGGGTGAGCTGCCGGCAGAAAAAATGTCTAGATTAGGTTAGGATTAGGTCATCTTAACCTAATCTAAAATAACCTAAGCCAACCTTATCTAATTTAACCTAACCTAAGCTAGCCTACTAAATTGTACAGTCAAAGAGGGCCGCCACTTGGCGAAGTCAAGGAACGTATCGAGAGGCTCCCTGGAGTAGTTGGTGCAATTCAGGAATACACGACTACCTAACTCAAGTCAGTTGGCGCAATTAATGCCCGCCCACAAAAATATGTCAATAGTAGGCTATTTAGGTTTCAGATAGTATATTATACAAGAGTTCATTAGTGAAATCAGTCCTCGTTCAACTGTATTTTCAGGAAGATTCAAACATAAACAAAAAAAATTGCTCCATAGGCCCACATACAATTGAAAATTAAAACAGAGAAATAACAAATGTTAAATATTGTGATTTTTCACAGTGGGCGGCATCATTATATATTTCTGTCTAAAATACAAACTGCCTTTATCTTGTTTTTAATTTAGTCTTTTGCAAATTTAATAAGCCATTCGACCGAGTACTGCACATCCTGTCAGAAAGGTGTATTAGGTTATAGCGGCCAGTTATACTAGGCTACAGTAAGGTATAGTTCAGTTAATTATTTCATTTTATTTTTTATTTTATATTATTATCATAGTTATATTATAGCTTATAATTATAATATCAAATTATAGTTATATTATTAAATTATTAAAATAATTATCCAAAATTAATGGGTAAATTATTGTAGGGTACATTATTGTATTAACCCTACTCTGGATTAGTATGTATTCTATAGACATATTATTTATCTCAATTTTGTTTTATGCTCGATGAGACTGCAGCTTTCCCATCACTTTATGCAGGATCTTTAGTGTATATGAACAATATGAATTATATGAACAACACAAAACAACGACATAATAAAATAAAAGATTCAATAATACAATTAATTTAAGTAGTTATACTAGTTTTATGATAGTGTTACTATTTAATGTAACCTTTTACGTCATCATTGTCAAAATATGCTTGAAAAGTACAAATGAAACATAGTTTAGAAGTTCTAAACCATTGTGCAGAATATAGTAATCGTTCATGTCTCTTAATTTGCATCAACTAAATCAAATGACTCTAGATTTTATTTCCCAATATGTGCACAAACATTGTATAAACTCTGAAAGTTCCTGTTTACAAATGAGATGTATTAAGTGCAATATAGGTTAACGCTGTTTACTCAGTAAGCGGGTGCAAACTTCCGCGTCTCTTTGGGGACGTAATAACGTGGTAATATTAGTTGGAAATAACATCTAATGGAACGACCGAGTACTTACAACACCCCAAGTTTTAAGACATAGAGTTGAAAAAGTTACAAAGTTTTTATTTCATCGATAATTTCCGTTTCACGTTTGAATCTGGCAAAAAAATAGCATCTAGTCGGTACTGGTGGTAGCGAAAATACTCTTAAAAGTATCTTTATTAGCCAGCGTTTCTCTTAAAAATAAGTTTTTCACAACAACTTTTGTCACTAAACTAATGTACTTACGACTAAACATTTATATCTTTTAAGAACTTTTTAAAGTTATTCTTAAAGGTAATGCTGGATGCAACGGTTTTTAGGCTCTCAGATAGTCCGTTGTTCAATGTGGGTCCAAAATAAGAGAAACCTTTCTTTCCCAATTCCAAGGTGACCCTTGGAAAGTGAAGCTTCCCACCATGACGTGGTATGACCTCATACCGGACAGAAAGCCCCTCACAAAGATAGTTGGGCTCAGAGTAAATACCCTGTGAGTCATACCTCACGTCAGAAACCTGCACATGGGCAACATACCGACTGCTTCACAGAAGGGGGGAATCATCATCAATATTTTGAAGCAGAATCCAATTCGGAATGCTGTGTTTTGGATCCGCTGTATTTTGCAGATTTCATTAATTCTTCCAAATGTTTTAATTTTATCCACTTTGGATTCAATAACATATACCACCTAAGTTTTTAAGTTGTATATAACTTGTTATTTGTTATTGAAATCAAAGTGGAATACCCTTCATTCACGTCGACCTAATTGATACGATATAAACTGTCAACATTTTACTTTGGATTGATGGTTTTCAACTGACTAATGACTTGTATAACTTTACATGACTATCTTCTGGTATAAAGTATATAAAAAAAGGCAGACATTTTAAAATTAAAGTTTGCACGCACCGAAGCGATGAAAAATGGCACGTTTCTTCTCAACAAGAAGATTCTGACAATGAAGTAGCTGCCAGAAGAATCACTACTAGCAGGAAGAAAAAAAAACAGGCCATATAAAGTATCTGTCACCGGTTTATAAACATTCAACTAACCTAATGGGGTGAAAAAAATAATATTTTCAACAATGAAGATTATTGGTGTTGCAGTACAAGAACTTCCAAATATAATGTTCAAGTCGGGACAAACCATCGTTGCCAACGGGGTGAGGTGCAGATTCATCGAGAGAGACTTCATATTTCACGACTTTCTCGTCAACAAAAAGAGAGGCGACGAAGATGAGCAATACAAAGAAATCAAGCAGGGCAGACCTGTGTGGTACCCGAAGGACCCGTTGGCCAACAAATTCCAACGTCAGGGTTTCAAAGAAGAGGCCAAAAGATTGTTCCCCGGAAGGAGGGGATGAAATGTTTCCAAGCATATTTAATTTTTACCAACTACTTGATCTTATTTCTATTGTTTATTCCTTGTATATGCCATGTCCCTGTAAAAGTAACGTATACAATATACATGTTGTTATATCTTTTTTATATAAGTTATCCTGCTTAGTGTTTCTTTTATAATATGTATAAAAGTAAGGGACGCGGAAGTTTGCACCCGCTTACTAAGTAAGCAGCGTTTTATAAGTAAGGGACAAAAAATAAAGCATATAATTAAAATGAGGACATTTGTTTTATTTCAAGAGCTATATTTTGTTGGCATAATTAGATGTGGAATGTCCCTGAACCGTTTGGAACTAATAATTGGTTAAATGCCTTCGCCAGGTATTTAATGGCCTATAGTAGTCGTCCAGTTCAAATAAAATTGTTTTTCTCCGATCTAGATATCAGCATATTGTTGTGCTATCACCAGGTATGTGCGGAATGTATCCAGTCGTTGGACGGCGTTTAGTATTGCATGTAGTACACATGCCACACAAGGATACAAATTGAACTGTCTGGTATGTCCAAAACAAAGACGCACACATGTGATTTCATCAACCGCAACGGGTGACATTCAAGCCACAACGATACGCCTGTAGTTGAAATGTTATTGTGGTCGTGCATTAGTAGCGCCAAAGAGATCCTTAATTGCGCAAAGCCCACGAACGAGGTAGGTGTGACTTGCCAGAGAAGTAATGACCTTGTTTATGTGTCACCCTAACCCCTAACCTAACCACACCGAACTACACCTAACCTAACCTACTCAAACATACAGTCAAAGAGGGCTGCCACTTGGTGTAGTTAATAAACGTATCGGATGGCTCCCTGGAGCAGTTGGCACAATTCAGGAATACCAGACTACCTGACTCGGGCCATTTGGCTCAATTAGGCCTAATGCCGTTCTTGTGGTCTACCTGACCTTTGTCCTTGTCATGGTATTGATCCTCGGCCACTAGCAAAGTAGAAAAACTTTGTTTAAACTGGAAGACTGAAGGTATTTAAACCTTCATTATTAGTAGATAATATGTTTATATCAATTGGATTATCTTACATGTAAGGAAATATTTCAAAGTAGACTAGCCGTAGAGTGTGGAGTGGATGTGTTGCTGGTAGCGTCTCGAATTTAGTGGGGAGGGATGGGTTCAATTCCCGGCACATCCATTCTTGGGTTTGGGGTGCCTTCCCTTAAAGGGTTAATACTTAACTAGCTTTGAATTCAAAATCAAGAATGTCACTGGTGTAAAAAAATCAGGAAAAATGAGGTTGAAACCCCAAAACTATATCCACTAGAAACAATGGGATTGATTGACGACAGGTCAGGAACCTTATTTGTGTTAAAAAGAGTACGTATAAACATCCCATAATAGACCAATAATAAAAAATAATAATAATAATAATAAGGTTCTTTAAACTGTCTCTTTGCGACGAACCACTTGCTTAAATAACTTATGTAAAAAATGTCCATGTACAATGAATTAAAAGCAAAACTATTATTTTGGATGTCATTAATACACGTCATTGAAACAGATATTACTAAAGAACAGTTGCTAAATTAAATTTGGTAATGTCTAGTTTTAAATATGCACGTTTGGATTTATTCGATGGTTTTGATAATTTAGGATTTATTACGGTTTGCTAGCTTCATATTGGGTTATTTTCCCCATAAAACATTGATGTTATGATTTAAAACTAATAAATATAAGAGAGCTAAGAATCTTGTAATAATGTTACTAGGCTTAAAAATAAATTCCCAACAATACTCATTTTCAGGAGCTACCTTTTATATTTCATTTTTTTATGTTTATTAATTCTATCCTCCATTTAGTAAAAGGAATAGATGTGCTCAATAAAGTTAGCTTCTTTATTTTGGCACAAAAATCAGAAGAATAAGATAACTTATATTGGAGATATTTGTAATGAATAGTGAAATATTTAACAAGATTTAAAAGTTCAAAAATGCAAATATGTTTAATTCACTGAATTAAAAAAAATTATTATTTATTACCCTATTTGAACATTAAAATTTATTTATACATTTCATTAGAAAAATAAGACTTCAAAAATTGGCTTTGGATTACAAAAGGTCCGTTTCAAAATCTTAAGGACATACTAGGAATCCGTTTCAGTTAGAAAACTAAATAAATCATCGTACAACTATCACTTTGGAAAACGCAAATTGTTTTACGTCCGTCTTTTGATCGCGCAAATGCTAAAACCTTAACCTAGATATTTGAGAACAATTTACCAACTAAGATGGATGTTTCAGCCAAGGAACTTCCGGAAGATATGTTCAAGAATGGTCAAGATTTGGTGGCCAATGGAGTTGCCAGTGAATTCATCCACAAAGACTTTCAGTTCATAGATCTGCTGTCGCAGCATCAAAGCGTTCGACCTACGTACAACAGGGACGGTGGCCCTTCCACTGAATATCCAGAGAGACGCCATTTTGAGAGGGATTATCGGGATGGTTATAACGATCCAAGAGGACCATCGTATTACTAAACCACAAAAATAAATATTTTACTCACAAACTTTAACTATCTTCCTTTGATTGTAAAATCAACTCCAAAAAGTGTCCTTTAGGAAAATCGTAGTCTAATTGATTATTAAATAAACTTTTTTTTAGAGGAAATAAGAGCCAGTTATATATTTTCCAGTTATATATTTTTACAATTTGATGTAATAATCGGAATATTTAACACAGTAAAAAATCAAGAATCAAGTATCAAGATTGTTGCAATGAATTTCTCTTTGGAAATACCTGTTACATTTAGCATAAATTATATTTATAGTATAAATAATATATAAATATGGACGGCTTAAGGTTTTCCAACTGTTTTAAATAACTTCTTGATCAGCATTGTACGTGTTATTAAATTTACGGAAAGTAAATAAAAAAAACGTCTTATAACACTTAAAACATATATTTACGCTTATACTGTTACTCACAAGACGGTAAATATACAAAAACGATGGTAAGTGGTGATCGATTTCGATTGGACACTCCAATCATCATCAGACCCAATAGGCGAATGTTTTTGTATATTTACCGTCTTGTGAGTAACAGTATAAGCGTAAATATATGTTTTAAGTGTTATAAGACGTTTCTTTTATTTACTTTCCGCAACTGTTTTATACCAATACTTTAAAATTTTTCTCTTTTTTCTTTAGAATTTTTACCAACTTATTATTTGACCTTGAATTATAATAGGATATGCGAAGAGAGACTCTGGAATCGTTTCAAGAACCATTGACTATAGCTACACTACTATATGGGCAAGACTTATAAATAAGTTAGTTAGTAAGCTATTTTATTTATGTTGAGGAATTGGAACTATTGACGATGTTCTATAAAATACAACTTCCAACCTTTAACACCAACATGTAAACCATTGCAAAGGAAAAGGAAAAGGACAACTTATGCTAAGCCATAGCATCTGTTATGAGTTATTACCCTATCAACTATTAATTGATAACTATAAAATTGAAATAAACTTCAATTATCAATTATTAAGATGGGGACGCCACTTAGGTGCGTATTTTAACCCAAATATGAGTGAAGGATGAGTGTAGAATGGTGTGAGATGATATGTGTAGCTTTGTTGCTGACTAAGATCAGCTGTTTCATTAGCCAGGATCATTTATTTAAAGCCCAATGATCAGGAACAGCTGGGTCCAGTTTCGAACCATCAAAAAGCTACCGACTTTTCTCAGGATCGAACCGGTGAAAAATTATGTTTATAGTAGTAAACTGTGTGAGAAGCTCACTAAACAAGTTGAGGATACCACTGACTACCCCTTGTATATGGGGCACTAACCTTGGTTTAAAATTTGATATTTTCTTGTCCTCGTACACTAGGCTCTGGCCAGTGATTGTTTTTCACATCGTTCGTTCAGCACCTAAGGGAACGAAATCACGCGCTCTACCACTGAACCAGTTCGCATCCAACACGGGCTAATATGACCTTTTGCATTAATTTTCCATTTTGCATTAAGTAACAGTTATTAAGGATTAAATACATTCTTGTATTTAATTATTTTATTTGTTATTTTATTTCTTGTATTTATATTTTTCTTGTATTTATTGTGATTAGCGTAGCCTAATCACCTACGCTAATTAACTACTGAAGTCAAACTTGGGGAAACGACTTCATTAGAAAAATTAAATGCCTTTATACAAAAACTTCAAACTACTCTCTCTGAAACAAAATCACAATGCTTTTTACCAAAATACTATTCCCATTCTATCTCCATTCACTAATAGTTATACCCTTAAACCAAATTCGCCAATAGTACAGTAAAGTTTTCTCATCACAACATTGTTAGATAGGCTAGTAGGAATAAGTAACATGAAAACCTTCATTTTGTGACATGTTATCTGATATATTTAAAAACATTTCGTCTTGATGTAACAAAGGTCAATAGATAGAACAGTTTGTTTATAGCTATTAATTATGTTTATAGTTTATTTTATCCGTGCAAAGACTGACGAGTAGCCTGGCATTTTATACTAGGGACTACTACAATATAGCTTACAATGTTTTAAAGGAAAGACTAAAGCGATGATGAGTGTGTGTGCATCATTGACCCCTTGTGGTGAGATGTCACTCTGAGCTTTATTAGATGACATAGATCCAGTTTGTTACAAAAATAGAATCGCATTAGGAACCTCAGAAATTCCATGAGCTAAATCCGAGCATTTATTTGTAAGGAAGAGCGTGGTACGGGTTAGCTTAGAGCATAGACAAAAGAATTAAATTTAGACCGTCAGCTGTGCTGCAGTTACCATAGGTTCTGGCGCATACCGCTGGGGGTGCCATGTAGTTGTTTACGGCATACGCTACGTAAGTACACGGTACTCCCAGCGGTGTACGCCAGAACCTATGGTAACCATGTTAACCACAGCAAGGCTGACAGTCTATATTTAATTCTTTTTGTCAATGCTTAGAGTGAACGGTGTACACCTTATTGTCCATTCAAGGTTAATTATTAACTTCTTAACGTATAAAGAATAATAAAAATAAATATTGAAAATTGCATTAAACTCTTAAAATTACTACAAAGTAAAAACATTACATCCATAAATTAGTATATGATTTTATCACTAGAGCGTAAAGTGATTCTTTTCTATCTGAGCTTATGTTAAACGATCTATGCGAAGCCGAGGTCGGAAAATGAGCGAGGGTTGAGAAGACACTTCGGCTGTGTGATAAACTATATTTTTCAATATTTTACAAGTCACAAAACCTAAATCTATTTATAAAAAAATACTTTTTAAAAATACTTCCATCTAGTTTTCTAGTTTGTTAATGCAAACAAGCAGCTGTTTAGTAAGTGATTGAATCATTTCCTCTATCACGATTGTGTTAGTGCACATTATCCTATATTTTAATAGGCAAGCATGTTTCTTAAACCCGCCTTTTTCCTTGCTCGTGTGCATTACAGGGAAATCTACGCATACTGTTCGATGTATGCGATTGGCTACAATCGAAATTTAAAACTGAGTTAACAGCTGTTTTTCCCCTAGGGATAAAATAGCTACTTTACACCCACAATGTATGTATTAAAACGGCTGTATGACGAAAAATAATTTTTTCAAAGACCTTGACTCTCCTTTTACTGGGCCTGCTTTATAAGACCACCCATGTTTTCTATATGTGTTAAAACACTACTTCAACTGGTCTGCTGTGGATCGTTCCCTTGTCCGTCAGTCTTTTTCAGATCTTTAAGGATGTCGTGGAACTCATAGTTTTCACTTATGAAGTTACCCATTACGCCATTTTTCATAAGACGATTTGCAGCCTCTTTCATTTGCTCTGGTAAAACATCAACTGTAAACAATAATTCATGTCATTTTTTGACTATAAATGCTAACTATGTATACTATCTTTGCTTGATGAGCAAATTGAAATTACGTCTTAACTGTATAGTCTAAATCTATGCTTGTGTTTAAGTGTATAAATTTGTAGTTTTTATAGTAATCACAACTAGATATACTTCAAGCACGCCTAGTTAGGTAAGGTTAGATTAGGTTAGGTTAGGTTGGATTAGGTTTCAACCTAGATACGTATTTAAATCCAAATAATGGCGAAGGATGATTTTAGAATGCAGTGAGATAATCTGTGTAGCTTTATTATTTTGTAAAGATAAGCTGTTTCATCAGAAAAGGCGATTTAAATGTCCAATCGTAAAGGACAGCTGGGTTTGGTTTCAAACCACCAAAAGATACACACTCTTCTCAGGATCGAGCTGGCTACAGTTTGATTACCAGATTAGCACTATCATAGATAAAAGGAGTATAACCACTCAGCACTCAGCTATAATATGAAATTATAGCAATAATAGGAAATTTGAAGCCCCTTGGTCAGATTTGTGGCTAGACTTTTCTAAAACACATCTTAGTCCACTTCATTAATCTTGGTTTTCAACTTCATCTCAATTCTGTACTGTAGTTGGTAGAACAACGTATAAGAATAACATTTTTTTTTTATATATTAAATGACATTAATTTACTTTATAATAGCTCCAACGCATGTAACAGATTAGCAACAGTGCAATGAGTCTAGCAAGCTACAAAGCTTAAACATGTTGGTAAGGTTTACTAACATTATAGTTTCAATTGCTAACACTAACATCTAACTACAAAAAATCTCTAGTTCTATGTGTGTTTATTTGTATTGTTTGTAGCTAACTATTGACATCTTAACTTTATATTTTAAACTGAACGAACTGCTTACTTGTATAAAATCCAAGAAATCCGATGAGTAAACTTTCTTTGCTTAACTCATCAAACTGTTTCGGCAACAATGGTGCTGTAGTCCACCCCCTTCCTTCGTAGACGCATCCGTCTCCTCCGATGACAAAACTGAAAAACATGTGTGCAAATAATTTAGATGACATTTTTAACTCGATAAATAACAATATAGCAACACTGTTCAATATGTAACCTTTCTCGTCTTGGAAAGAGTTAAATTGTTGTTACAATTAATTAAATCACCAACATGCATAACTTTTTCCTTTACGATTTCAAATAGATTATAATAGAAGATTAAAGTAGGGAGCTAAGCCTTATTTCTTTTATATGAAAAAATGAAGAGTATTTCACACTAAGAACATTGATCCAATATTGGTTAGTAGCATACAATAGATGTTTTATCAATAATTTTCACCAAAATAGAAATACCAAAAAACTAAAAATTTACAAAAAAAACCACGATTGCAATTTTCGATTCCACCAATGCTTAGAGAAAACCAAGCCATCCTGCATGGATAAATAAGGTTTACAAAATTAAGCTAAAATATTTCATTCAACAATTTGATGATATAATAAAAAAAAGAGGGAAAACTTCTTTACATTTATGAAGATGGCACTGTAATTTTTCAAATTACAATGTCTTCCAGAATTTGATAAAAACCACTCACAAACCTTTGTAAGACATTTTACTAACGCAATGAATAAAGACAGCTTATACAAAAGCAAATTTCGTTATACAGAATCTTGCGACAATTATGTTAAAGGCACACTAAAAATTAGTATGTTGAAAGGGCTACACTTACTTATAACGAATGTCTCTGATCTTTTGGTAGAAGATGTTGTGTTTCTGAGTGTTACTGACCAGGTTCATGCATTCAAGCTTGGTTGAACATGTTTGAAACTTAACGTTCATCCAAAAAACATGTTTACATTCAACGCTTCTCTGACTTTGGAATATGTTTGGTTTCAATGCGTACCAATACTCCCGAGCAAATATGTTCAGGCACATATTGATGCACCTAAATGACTAGAATGTCACAGTTTCCTCTATAATGAAAGGGCTATCTGGGTAGTAATTGTTTTTCTTCTTGTTTATTTTATTCTGTAAGCAAAGATTATGAAAATAGTACATAGTTAGCTGGGCAAGTAAATTCTGCAAGCTCTTCTCATGGGTTTATAAGATAACAAGTAAAATATTACACAATCTTCATCTACATAAAGTTCATTGAGAATATAAAGTGATTTAAAACTTTGGTTGACAATATGTGATTTAAGTACACACTTTATACGGATTTGTGAGGACCTTCAAGTATTCTTTATTCATTAACCAATATGATAATTATATGTTTAGTAGACCAGTGGTAAAAATTTTATTTAAATGAATACAAATATTTTAATCATTTCTATCATTCGTTTCTATCATATAAATAAATTCAAGTGATTCTTGATTAAATACCACAGATTCAATTAAAATCTTAGTTATAGCATTAACTATATATTATAGAATAGAATAAATAAACACCAGTTGTAACACAGATATTTTAATATATAATTATAATATATTATATAATTACCTGTCCTAACTAGAACTAACACGTTATAGTATTTACGTTTTCACTATAACAAATTTTCTTGTAAAGTCGAAATCCTGGAAAATTTACAGGAATAAAACTGGTCGTCTTTGGTTTAGCTTGAATCTATAGCAGGAAAAAACCTCAGCCTCCCCCTGAAAAGGAAAAAAACAATATTAGCAAATATTTTCTTACATTTTCCAAAACAAAAGAACTACAAAATAATTCAAGAGGTGTAAACAAAATAAAAATAATGAATATTTACATACCATTTGGCATCGGCCCAATCATTGACTTGAATAGCCATCCAAAAGAACGTTACTACAATCAAAATTCTCAAAATTACTGCTGGAAGTGGTTGATCGAACAATGCCATTCTCCTATGTTTACCTCAGTTTGTGTTACATTTTGAAATGATATAGTTATCATTAACTGTTATCAGAAACGATTATTGTATGTGGGATTAACTTGATAAGCTAATGTTACTAAGATAACACTCCCTTTTTCTTAGTTTACTAAATGAGAAAATGTAAAGACATGGTGTTAGAATAGTGGTCACGTAAAAGTTATTTTTGAGTAAACGAATTATACTTTGTTAAGGCTGAAGAAAATGTGTTGTATCCTTTCACAATCAAACTATTAATTTGTAGAAAATATAAATCGTACATTTATTACTTTTTTATTAAACTATTATCATATTATCATTGTAAATATGTCTTTATTGTTAGAAAATGTGTGATATAGTTTCCTTGAATTTCGCATTAACCTGCTCAATATTTTTGTGTTTATCTGATTGGTATTTCAAATTTTACCTTTGAAAAATGAAGATTCGATTTACTGAAACCCCTTTTAAGGTTACCAAATTACTGATAAGTTTTTGATTTATGTAAAGAGGGTTTTAAAAAGACATAATTTACGTATGGATTCCTTCGGTAAAACAAGAACATAAACTTTATATAAACAGACAAAACTGTCAGTATATGTTTTTTACAAAAATAGTCATAATTCCTCAACTGTTAATACACTTGTATCTACAGCGTTGAAATAATGAAAAATTTTCATGTTATTGATGGCTATCTTTGTGTAAAATGAGGATACTAATTTTGAACCATTTGAAAATGGTGGCAAATTAAAATATGTGATATAAAATTTCACAAACACCATTAGGCCCTAATTCTACCAATAAATTATCAATAGATAGAATTTGAAAAATAAATATGTAGATTTTCTTTATTTTCGTTGTTGACTATTCGAGGCACATCTAATTATAATAATAAACATCTGCCTTAGAGTAATACAATGTTTAATTCTAGTTTATGTAGGCTCTATTATCAACTAACCCCTTTCTTCATCAGCTCTTTCATCAGATCTTTTTTCATCTCTGTGTTAATCAGCTTAACTTTAGTTTCTCTCGAATATTCTGTGAGTTTTTAGTAATGCTAGAGATTGTTGCTCGAGAGGCATGGCGAGCCAGGCCTGCCACATGGCTACATCCCTGTTCTGAACCAAGAGGTCACGTGATTTATATGTGTTTTGGAAAGGAATTCAAAAAAACAATACAAGAAACAATGTACTTTCTGCGATGGATGCACCATTATAGCACATGGCTCTTGGAATATCATGACATAAGATATAAGTAAGCTATTTTGGGCAGTAGTCTTACAAAAAGCACTAAAATAAAATTGTTTAAAGTCATAAAGCTATCGTATATTTAGATATATTTATTTAGTACAGTAAAGGGGGTTTCTGTAGCATCCCTTACATACAGATTCTACTCAACCAATTTGTACGATTTATTTGTCGTTTTAAAGCTTATAACAGGGAGGGCGAATGATAACAACATAGTTATTTGTGTAAACAGTCACTCGCGTTACACATTATATTTTTCCTACAGTTACTATAAAGCATATAAATAATTAGTCTTTCAACACGTTTAGGTTAGGTTAAATCCAAGCGTTGAACGAAATGGGAAAAGCTGCACTAGCTGATCGCAGTAGTTGCCAACTTATTTTCAAGCGTACACATATTATGTGACTAAAAAAGCGTGTGTGTGATTATAAGTGTAATAATGACAGGTTTTTAAGATTTAAAATACATTGCGTCGAAGAAAGAATAGTTGTTTAATACCTAACATCTGTGTTTTGTTTGTTACTTTGAGGTTGTTGATGTTTGGCTTGATCCAAGCTATGAATAAATTTAAGTGGAACTTCATATATACTCCTACATTAACTTATAGTTCGAAAGGTTAAATATTAATAAACATGATATTTTTCCAGTTTCATGATTGGCGAGGACGGAACCATATACGAGGGTCGTGGGTGGACTCAACATCCGTATATGCCTAAAAAATATAAACATTTGGAGGGAGATGCTCTTGTTTTAGGAATAGTAGGACCTTTCAAAGGTAATACAGTATTACGATATTTTAATTTATTCAACAAGCATGTTGTAAATACCCTCCCCACAGCAAACCTGCAGATTAAGCGAATTTAAATGTCCGATTGGATTTTAACTAGCATGTGTTTATAAAAAAATATATTTGTTCTCAATTTAATTACTATTAGGCTTAATGAGTACTTATGTATGCTAGGTATGTATATTATGAAGAAAAAAAATTGGTCTGTTTTGTTAATAGTTTAGGGTAAAATATTTACATTTTATAAATTTGATAAAAGTATCCATAAACAAATAAATTACAACAGCGTTCTATGTCTGCATAAGAATAACATACATATTTTTTATTTACGGTTCTTTTTTTAAATTTCATCTGTAACTTTTATTTCTACAGCAATACTATCTACTCCATAAAACCATATTAACGAAATATTTTTGTAATTTGATACAAAATATTTTTGTTTAAGTTCTACACGATGGCTGTAACACACACACACACACACACACACACATAAACAACGAACAGTGTTTTAACCTTTAGGGACATCATCATAATTAAAAGGTTCCCCTGCAGGGTAATTCACAAAAACGAAACACGAGAACATATTTTAGGCTCTTGTTTGAGGAGTAAGCCCAGAGCCTAGTAGGTCATTTTAAAGGTATATGTTAATTTCATTCAACAAACCTGGTTTGAAAACGAAACATGAGAATATGTTTCGTTGTGAAAGTGTATCTAATTTTATCAGGAGCTTGGAGCTAGTAAACCCTTTTAGTTTTTAGCTACAGGAAAACCCCCATCGTACATGTTTACATTTGGTAGCTCATAATATCCCAGTGAGGACTAAATTAATTGAAAGCTGGAGTTTCAGGTTTCAGTTACCTTAGTATCAACATAAAAAAATATATCTTAATGTATGTGATGGATGAATATTATAACAATTCATTTTAACCACTGATTGCAAAACTGCATGACCTTTATTCAAAAATAACAAGAATTTGTCATTCTATGCACGTCAATCGTACATTTTAGGATATTAAATTCTTGTTAGTTTTCCGTTGGTACTTGAAAACATAAAGATATTTAAACTTATGAAAATAGTAATGCCCGTCCCTTATGATAGAAATAAAAAATGTGGCTGAATACAGTTTTAGGATTAATTTTTTTTTTTTGTACGGAAAGTTATAAAAATGTCAAAAAAGCAAGCTGAATTCAGCTTAGGAAAAGGTCCCAATGTATGACACTAAAAATTCTCTTATAAAAAGAGCGTTAAGCTTAAAATTGTATTATTGATACATATAAATATAACCATAACGAGTAGATTTTTAACTTACAGGACAACATTTTGCTATTAAGAATTTCAAAGTTATTTTTATTCTAATTATTTATTCAATTTTATATTTAAAAAAATATCACAACCACAGTATTATTTTTGTCCGACTAGTTTACATAATTAAATAAAAAATCTATATTCTTTTATAGAACTTTCTTAATTCTGTCGTTTTAGTATTTAGAACTATCGTATCTAGCAATACCATTAGACTTTGTTCTATTAAACTATACTTTTTTGACTATGTTCCAGCAAAAAAACTACCACCAATAATAGAATGTGCAATTGATGATTTGATACGGTATGGCGTAAATAACAAGTATATGAAGAAAAATGTTAAGTTTCATGTGATAGAAAAAAATCAAGAAGAAGATAAAGCTTTATATGAAGTAGAGATACCTAAATATTAAGACGAAACTTCAAATTATAAATGTTTCGGGGTATGTTGTATAAACTGTTGACATACTTGTAAATTACTTAGTATCAAAATCTAATAATTTGAAAATTTTCAAATTATTTATATAAAAGTCCAATTTGTCAGTGAAAGGCAATGCTGGGACTTGCGGGACCAGTGAAGAAAATACAAACAATTTTTTTTTAAACGTTGGTATTCTATACAATTAATTATATCTTTTGACTTCCATGTCATGCATTATCATAAATACGTTAAATCATAATGAAACGGTCATTGAAATTTTCAAAAGAAAAAAAATATTATGATAAACCTCAGGTTATGTTTTATTATACAGGGTGTTCAAAAAAAGGAGGTTATTTACATAGTCATTCCTTGGGTCAAAATCAAGAGAAAATCATGAATACAACTTTTTCCAAAATAGCATCATGTACCAGATATCTGCCTTTTTTTATTTTATACGTAAACATTATTATCTTTGGATTGTCCCAAACGATATATATGAAACTTGGTATGTATGTTAAGGTAGAAGCGACCTATGTTAGGAAAAGGATATCTTGTCCTATTCAAAATTTTAAAAAATGAATGAGTTTTCTGATTTTATGAAAACCATGTCGTCTATATTTTTTGATTTGACATTTTAAATCCCCATCAAATGACACTAAGTTCAAAAAGATTATATTAAAAATAACCGAAAATAATATCATGATTTTTAGTTGTGAAACAAGGCAAACCTGACTAGCTTTTTAACATTCCACCTCATTTGACGACAAAAATCGTAATATTTCAGTTATTTATTATTTTATATTTTTGAACTTGGTGCCGTTAGATAGGACACTTTAAATACCAAGTAGAAGAGTTCTAGACACTTTTTTCATAAAATCAGCCCATAGGCCACCATTTCAAAATTCGAAATTAGAACCAGAATAAATTTTTTCTCACGTGGGACGCTTCTGGCTTAAACATTCATACCTTTCATAAAGATCGGTTGGATAAATCTAAAGATGGAAGTAATAATGTAAAACATACAAAATGGCCGTTACTTGGTTAGTGAAGTGATTTTGGAAAATTTTTTATTCTGATTTTCTTTTTATTTTGACCCTAGGAATCACTACGTAAATTATATCTCTACCGTTTTTGAAACCATGTTTATTTAACACTTCGGCTAAGCTCTGCATCTGACAAATAATTATTCATTACTTTATAGCCTAGCTATTTACTGTATGAGACAAAACGAAGGCAGTAAAGTCAGACAGTACTTGAGACAATTAAATGTCAGAGTGACATTTCCTCATCATCCTTCAAATGAATTCTACTCCAGTTGTTGCGTCACCAATTAGACAAAGTTTTTTACTTAATCAACAGCAGGTATTGTTATATGTTTATTTTCATTATTTTCATCGTTCAGGAAAAATGTTAAAGTAATTTGTTAATCAGTTGAAGGTCCTTAAGTATTTCAAACAAAGAAACTAGTAATAAAAAGGTTAAGCTATAAAAAGTATTTTAATATTTTTTTATATAGAATTTATTCAATCTTAAAACCATTTAACATTCCGAATCTGAGTTTTGAGTCATTTATATACATATGTGCAAAACTTACAAAAGAAACTACAGCTATGTTTCTCATTTTTAAATTTTAAAATTACTAAGTTAATGCAGTAAAAGCAAAGAAACGACTATGACTCCTACCTAATAAAATAAATTTGAGTTCAGATTGATAAAAATAAGACAACATAAAAGGACTAAACTGGGACTTCGATGTTGCCCATATTACGTTGATTTATGTCTAGTATGACAAGGTAGTTCTGTCAGTTATGTTATTTAATTCCATAAAATGTTATTCCTAATATTTTTTGAGTTGCCTAGCATGCTGATTAAAGGTTTTAAAATCCGGTCAACTAAGAAAAAAATTGAAATTTTCAAACATATAAAATTTAAAAGAAAATCTAGTCTTACTAATCAAAAGAATCACATGATTTCATCTTAATCGTAGAAACTTGGTTTTAAACGGTTACATTTCATTCAATATCTACATAATTACAACAAATGTAATTTTTATTCGCACATAAACAATTAAAAGAGCTTTGGCTTTAACGAATGAACCTCATAAATCTACTGAGGCATGAACATATCTCTAACATTTCCTGGTGTTGAGTCCAGAGAAGTGATGTCTTCTGAAATGTGGTTACTGCAGAACACCAGCTTCTGACATTGGCTTACCACCACTTATCCTCCTTGACCACATCGAGAATGGTTTAACACTACAATTTTATACCTTACTGAACTAGCTTTTTAGAGTTCAAAGCATTTAAACCTCGAAAAGAATAAAAAAAAGTCCATAATTAATGTTGACAGAGTTATGAAACGTTATTTTTGGATAAACTGTATTGAAACATTGTCAATATTAGATTTGTTTAGTAATATTATGGATATGACAGATAACGCATACTGCAAATTGCATTGCAGTGAAATAAATAAATAAACACATTCTATCCATAACAGCGGTATTGTTTACAATTTTTGTTAAATAATATTGTTTAACCATTTGGTTAATACTAAAAATCATCGTCAGACCCAAAAACCAATGACAAGTTTCTAATTTATTATATAAAAGTGAAACAATTAATATGGATATGTAGAGTCAATCGTTGTATAAATAAATATTTACAATAACGTTTACTGCAACTTATTTATGAATATTACAAATAATTTATAAGATAAATTTATTTAAACTGCAATAGCATTTGGCGTTATGTATTGTATAATGTAATATGTTAAAGAATAAAAATCTGTTATGTAATAATGCAATGTTACCCAGATTACTTGAAAATAACCCTTTTCTTCCAATCAGCTGGGGGAAAACTATATACCATTGTTATTTAATATGAAATTTATTTATTTAACAGAATAAATAAAATTCAAAAACCAAACAAAATAAAATAATCCTTGCTTATAACCAATAGCGTATAAAATAGCTCAATGAATTACTTATCTCTACATATTTATATACCTTTACATGAGATTTTAATAAAAATAACTCGAAAAGTTTTTAATTTTGTAGCATGAAAGGTTTGAAATTTCATAGCATCGTTAAAGTTATTAAGTTTATTAAGAGAAATTACGAGCAATATTTTTTAATAGTTTAGCTCCATATTTAGGTTAATTAAGGAGACACGCCTCCACTGGAAATTTTTACCTATATTTAAAATGCAAGCCATTAATAGTAATCTTTTTAATTTGTTATAATAAAATACAAGGGAAAAATAATCTCCTGCCCTTGGCGTTGATAAAATATATTGATTTTATCACTTTTATAGTTTTTTGTGGGTTTAAAAAAAATTTGAATAACTTCTCTAAAATTTTTTTAATTATTTCTACACATATCAATTTTAACAATTAATAATAATCAAGTAAAATTATAATATTTTTAATTTTGTTTAGTGTAATTTTAACATTTTCTTTTAAATACTTTTATAAAATCAGTAATATAGCATGTAAATTATTCCCAAAGTTGAGAAGTTGATAAATCTTATAACAATTGGCAAACGTTTTAACACTCTATCTTTATATGGGTCAAAAGTCATTCAAAATCTTGTGTTCGAAAACGGAGAAAACATTATAAGTGGCAAATGGCGTATACAGGAAACAGCTGGTGCATTGCTAGATCATACACCAGCATACTAAAACAACCAAAAAATAGGAAATAATTTTTAAAATGGTTTGAAATTTTACCAAGTTTTTAGAACATGTACATTAAATTAAAATGCAAAAAGAAAACTATTTAATGTGGACCAAAACTGACCATTGGAGGAGGCAAATCCCCTTGATAAAATTTAAACTCATTCAGGTAAAATTCTAAAAATATTGATGAAATATACTCACCCAGTGTATCAGTGTAAGCCACAGAGTACCTAAATAATTTCCAAAACTAATGTTAAAAATTTTACCGTCCTAAAACAGAAAACTTTTACATTAAAACTCCATCTGGGTTCTTTCCAGATCGAAAATAACGTAAAACGAATGAGTCCTTTAAAATACTACACCTGCCAATTTAACGGAAAACTTATTCCCATCATAATTTATATAAATGCAGCAATCTCAAAATACACAATTTCAGCACATTTCGAATTACATAACGATGAACGAATGTAATCCGAATAACGAATGCCCTTAAAATGAGCATAACCTTATGTTTGTTAGTATAACAAAGATAATCAGATTCAAGATCTCCCGTTTCACAACCCGCTAATTGGATAATCCTTCAAACATTCTTCAACAAAACTAAGCCAATCTTCTTTGTTAGTTTAATCACTTTACTTATTTCAGAACGAATGGTAGGATCAGATTTTAACGAACGGATTTGACGGTTCTCGTTATACCACTGGGGTTCGGCGTTATCACGTGGCGACGCTAGCGCTGCGGCGGCGTCGGAACGCAGCGTTTATATGGGAGACGCATACGGAGAGTGGTCAGTCGACGCGGCGCGCCGTACCCGACATGTAGTGTGTGTGTGTTAGTGTGGTGTCACTCGTCGAGTAGGACTTCTTCGATTTTAGGTAAATATTTACTACTTTTGACATGGCAATAAAAACTATTACTTGGGTGTATGTATTAAGACTCACATATATTAATATAGGCTCTCGTTTGAAAGTAGTTTTTAATTATGTTTTTGTAAGTTTAGTATTTTATAATTACAGGTCTTAAAGTACCTGTTTAATGTATGCGGAATGTTAATAATGCATTTGATGCATTTGAGAAAGTTCTTTGGGTGATCATTTAAAATGAATGATACTTTTGGCTATTAGGTAGATATCGTTGTTTTAAACTTAACGCTGTTTCTTGTACTGATTTATGTTTTCATAATGTTGAAATAGTTGACGAAGATTTACATGGAATATATTTATTAAAATAAGTATATTTTTGTTTAGGAAATGTCAGTTTTTGTCAGTCATAATTGAAAACAATTAGGTGCATTTCGCGTATTTAATTTACTTTTTTTGACAATTTATTGACGGAAAAACTATGAAAACTCTTCAAAATAAATGGCTACCTTTGTTAAAATATATTGTTTAGTCGAAGGATCTCTCTAAACCACTAGGAATCTTTTATGGTTTTTAACGATAATTCATAAACTGATCAAAACAGATCTAGAATAGGTTATCAATTAAAACATATTTATATTACAACAGTTTTACTTTAAACATTGAACAATAGTTATAGTTTAAGCAATATATAAAGCTGGTAGTAGCAAAGTGAAATGTTTTAATCTAATTAGACAACAGATAAATAGACAATAATGTAACTTACGTACTATACAAAAATGCGATGCACTTATGAATAAGCAGTTTATTTTTAGCACGCAATTGAGCTCCACCAGTAAGGTAATTCATCGTAACATCTGATTGACCTATGTATGCAACAATATAAAGATCGGATTAAACACTAAACATTTAGATAAACAAACGCATAAATGATTTAAAATTTTAATTTGTTGCCATTTACTATTTCGAATAGAGTAATATTTCGGACCTTTTCCATTAATTCTTTACTACTAGTTTTTAGAGCAATATATTATTAGCAAAGAAGTGGTAGTGAATTAAACTTTGGTTAGCTTAGGCTAAGTTAGTATAGAGTTATAAAAACCTAACCTAACCACATTCAACTAGTGGCAGTGAACTAATGGAAAAGGTACACTATTTGTAATTGTATTAATAACTTAGAATAGTTTATTATATTAACTGGTTAGGTAATATATTTAATTTTTTGTCTTCACAGGGGGACGTCTTTGATGATACTGTATAAAAACCTATTTTTTTATTTATATAAGGATAAATTTCAAGATGAACGAACGATAGATATAGATAGATGTATTTACCTTCAATAAATAAAATATAAAACGTCATAAACACTTGATGATTTGGTTCACATTAAATTGAATTCGTCAACACTAAATTTTTAGTATAACAAACAATATAAACAGTGTCAATAATATATAATTGTATTATTGTAGTAAATGTCAAAATAATCCAAATCCTTATTTTGTATACTAACCCATACACGTTTTTCGGAATAATTAATGAATAGCCGAATAAGGAATGAAAACGTCATATTCAAATACAACCACGTTGCACTTTGTAGGTAAATTTGGAAATATACATATGAGAGAAAAGGTTTCTGACGTTCTAAGGTTTCTCAAAGAAGATGTGGACTGTGAAACCAGAATATATAAAGGATTCTAAGGAACCCTTTTGCGAAAGGGACGAAACTTTATAAAGTGAAAGACGCCATAACGTGCATTGATTAAAAGAAGATTCTTTGATATGCATAATAAATATGTGTAAAAGTAAATAATAAATAATGTAAACTGGGAGTGTTTTTTATGCAATTGTTTTTTTTTTAACTAACGGGGTGCTTGGGGGTAACGGGTTCAATTACCAGTACATCAAGTGAAAATTTTGGGCTTTGAACAGCTTAAAATTGTTTGAGCTACGTTCATACAAAATGCCCTCAGCGTGAATAAATCTAATAAAAGAAGTGTACGAAAATAACAAATCACTTTATTTGATAGACGCTTTAACAAATAGTTGTTCACGTATTGCAATAGTTATTTGTGTACCTAGTGTACGAAGTGGTACTTGACACAAGAGGCACTTTGCACTCTTGTTACACATTATTTGTCCTACAGTTACTATAAAGCATATAAATAATTAGCCTTTCAAACAGTAAACAACACGTTTTAGGTTAGGCTAAATCCAAGCGTTGAACGAAATGCGAAACAACTGCACCAGCTGGTCGTAGCTCGTAGCCGTAGTATCTTTAAGTGTTGCCAACATATTTGCAATCGTATACGGATTACTTCCATTATAAAATCACGCTGTTTTGTGTTGTTTGGGTGGATTACTGGTGTGCGGCAAAAAAAAGAGCGGGACAAAAAAAAAAGCGTGCGGCAAAAGTAAGTAAATTCAGCAATTAGCAACTTTCTGTACTGCAATCAGTGCAAGTAAGCCCAATTTGTCAGGTGACTGTAGGAAAAATATTGAAAGCATTAAATACTCGTACGAATGTTCTCCGTTGCAACTCACAACAATATGTTTTCTGAATGTGTTTAGGTGTCTTATTTACCCTCCAATAACAACAGTTCATCCTTGTATGTCTCAATATTTTTGTTTTGATTTATCTGGTACTGTAGTTGAAAGAAACACTCTGTTGGTGCATTACTATCTAAACATCATATATTCGTTACCTACAAACCTTAAAATAACATATTAAAAAAAACCAATTATTTTTCGTCAGGTCAAAAGTTAAGCCTACAATTACGGTGAAACATTACACGCTGTTGGCGTATTTAATACGTTTGATAGTAGTGCTAGTAGTTCATCTACAATTATTTCCAACCATTGTGTATTTAGCTTTACTAACGTGTATTTTGCCATATATCGTACTATTTTGTTATTTTTGGTGAAAAATCTGCAAGACAGCAAAGTAAAACCGATGCAGGAAAGTAAATTTGACTGCAGTTAAGTAAAAGGAAGAAGTAATATTCTTATTTGCGCCACACTATGATGTTTTTGGCTGTTTTCGTACGTTAATTGGTGGCTGAACGTTACGATTTGCTAGCCATGCCAGCTGTCATCGTCATTTGGAGACGAGCAGGGTTTTACATTCTTAGGGCTGCAAAGTCAGCTGCCCGCTTACTTTCTTAAAACATGAATGCATATTAAATACACAATCAGTATCCATAGCATTGCAATAGTTTTTTTTATTGTCACCACTGCCCATCAACTATTTATTATTATTTTTGCTGATTCCTCAAATTATTCATTCACATAACACTAAAGTTGTAGTTGTGTTGACTATCAGTGTCCATTATTATTGTGGTAAATAGTCGTAATAGGGTATAGTGTGGTGAAAAATAGTGTTCGTACAACGGACCAAAATGGTTTTGCAGCCTCGATGGTTTTAAAAACTATCTCGAGCCGGCAAAACCTCATTTTCAGCCCTAGGTACTAAATATTCCATTACGCGTGCATAATCGTAAGACCCATTGTTACCTGTAGGAAAACGATTTTCTTCTAGCTCTTAATTTCTCTGCATGTAACAGAATACTATCCTTTTATTTTAATTACTTGATATTCCAAATTAATTGTTGTTGTTGTTTTTACATAACAACTTTGTCTAATGCAATTATTATATTTACGTAACTAAATCAAAATTACCAATTAGATTTTGAACGCCAAACGATTGAGTAAATTGAAACCAAGAGTGGTTGAATCGCAAATGGTAATATAACACGAAATACGAGCAGTAACGAAGCGGTTTGTTGGGTTGAGGTCGTATCGTTGTGTTCACAGACCGTAGAGGATCGTGTTCTACTGTCAATTGTAAAGCTGGAGACTTCACTTTACCTGCCTCCAAAGTCCAAAACCAAGCACCACACAAAGTGGTTTAACATAAGTCATATGTACATTAAGCACCCGATAATACTAAACGGTGAAATGAAGGAATTTTCGTTTTAACTAAGTCATAGCTTCTTAAAGGAAATTAAGACTATCATTTATAAAAATTACATTTTTATTTTTATATATTTTTTCAAATAATGTAGATGAGTGGTTTTAGTTCTCGCTTAACAATTAGAAAGTCACCTGTTTGGTCCATAGTAAAGTCGGTAGCTTTTTAATTATTCAAAACTGTACCCAGCGCTCTTTGATCATGCGGCTCATAACAATTGATCCTGGTTAAAAAACAGCTGTTCTTAGTCTGTAAAAAACTACAATAGTATATTTCGTACCTAGGGCCGAAAATTAGGGTTTTTCGGTTCGAGATCGGTTTTTAAGTTCGAGACGCAGTCGATGGAGAGCTGCAAAACCATTTCGGCCAGTCACACGAGCGCTTTTTTCACCACACTATACCCTATAACCACTATTCACCACAATATTAATTCACTCTAATAGCTACAACTTTTATGTGAAATATTTTAAGAAATTTGCGAAAATAATAATAAATAGTTGCAACAACAAAACAGGCCTATTGCAATGCTTGGATTGCTGAATGGGTTCTGCTTGTGTATTTAAATGTTTCCAGTAAATAAGCAAGTAAAACAGCTGGGGGGGCCTAGGGATGTAAAAACCTGCTCGATCCCCAATTGACGATGACAGCTGGCATGGACAGCAATACATAGTTTTTGGACTCCAATAAACGTTTGTAAAACTGCTAAACACATCGTAGTGTGGTGGAAAGAACATAATCTATTCGTGATATAGAAGAATGTACATAATGGATTTATTCATGTATTAATTATTTTAATGCTCAGCTTTAAATTACCTCAGATTGAGCTCATCGTTTTTAAATGAGCTTTCATGTCATCATAAAGAGCGTCCGTGTCTGAAAGAATGGAAACTATTTTTATAAACTATACGAAAGTACTTATAGTTTCATGTACAACATGAGCCATGACAGTTTTGTGTTTATTTGGTATATTTTTGTAGGTAAGCCATAACTATCATTATGTCATTATTAACCTAAATCAGAAAATAAATTTATTGAGAGGCAATTAAAA